CCCCCGCCAAATGGTTTAGCCCTCAAACTGCAGATGAAGGCTGGCTGGGAACAAGGTTTACCCAGGGGCAGAACCAGACTCAAAAGTTGCCTCCTGACTGCACATTAGTGCTTCCTCCTCGGCAGCTTGATAAACCCCTCAAGAACTTATGGGAATCTGGGTTTTGTTTGTGTTCCAGCATTCTGTTGTTGTGACAAAATACCTGAGATAATTAACCTAAAAGGAGGAAAGATTTATTTTGGCTCATGGTTTTAAAGGTTTCACTCCACAGGCCTGTACATTGTGGTGAGAGTGCGTGACCAGATGGAGGAAGTCACTTTACCTCATGTGGCAGTTGGGAAGCAGGAGAAAGGATAAGCCAGGGTCCCCTATCCTCTTCAAGGGACCCCCTTCAACCTAATTTCCTTTCACTAGGCCCCACTTCCTGAAGGATCTACCTCCCAACAGTGTCATAGGCTGGTGACCAAGCCTTCAGCACATGAGCCTTTGGGGGGACCTTTAAGAGCCAAACGTGACCTTTTGTCTTTGCTTGTTCTTCTCTTCTCCAGAGAACATGGCTGGCTTCAGGTTCAGAGCAAAGCATTTTGCTTGCTCTCATCCAAGTTGCTGAGGTCCCAAGTTGCCACAGCAGAATGGCAGCTCCCTTCTCAGAGTGGTTTTCATGTAGAAGTGAATACGGATTTTGAGGTTGTTAGAAGTCATGGTTATGCTTTTACAAAATCATTTTTTAAAAAATGTAAAACAGTTTATGAATAGTGACAAGATCTGTGGGGACTCTGGCGGGGAAGGAAGAGGTAGGAAGGAGCTCCTGAAGTTAAGGAATCCCCCAGAAGAGGTGCTAGGACCGTGAGGTACCAGACTGGCAGAGGATGGTGAACTTCAGACACCAGAAATTGCCACAGTATCTGGGACATGTATTGAGCAGTCACTACACGTGACACGTCTTGCTGAGGCCACATGTCTACAAGCCTCTGGTGGGTGGGGACCATCCCTACCCACAGCCATCTTTACTTTCCAGGAAGTTTTTTTTTTTTTTTTTTCAAGGGTTGAACAAGCAGGTTTTAGATCATAAGCAGAAGGACAACTGGCTTCGTGAGATTCCCTCACGAAGGGAATTCTATTTTACTGAAAATCCAGAGTTGCACAAATAGTTCTTTAGAACATAAAACTAAATGGATTTATACATAACAATTACATTAAGCATTTATAAGAGGCAGTACAAAATTTGTTCTGCTTCTACATGATATAAATTGCATATAATACCATGATTTAAACAATATTAATCATTTTAACTAGTAGTGAGATACATCTTCCTCAGAATGTCTGATGTTTCCCACAATGGAGGGAAAAAATTGCAGTTATACGAGCTGTTGAGTTTCTTTGCATTCCCAAGTTCATTTTAGCAAAGGTAGGGAGATTTAAGGACAACCGTTTCATAAGAAGTAAAAGAACAAAAAATTTACAGGACTGTTCTGAACTCATCAAAAATGAAGTTAGGCACGTGTGCTTCAGCAACCTGCAACATTAAAAAAAGGAGTAAGTTATTCGGTGTTACAGCAGGACAGATTCAAAGCTTTCCATAAAATTCCAGAAGTGAAGAGATCCTTTGGAGCAAAGTGAGTCACAGAAAAGAGCCATGCTCAAGGGAACTACTTGTAATAGCCACTTTAGTTTCTGATGGCCTCTGTCCCAGTGTCTCACTTCTAGCCACTGCTAACGTGACAGGAGGCGGTACAGGTCCTGCTGGCTCCAAATGTGATCTCCATGGCTCTCAAGGGCACTGTGATCTGCTAGGAATATGCCTCTGGGAAGTACCAAGAGGTAATCTCAGGTCACACGACATACTTCATTAGCTGAGGCTAACCCAGGAAAAAGAGCAAGTCTGGCAGGTGACAGTGGGGGTATGGCTAAGGGAAAACCGAGAGTCCTCAAAGGCCTGTATTCCTTAATTTGTCCTGGGGAAGCCCTGAGAAGGCTGGAGTGGGCTATGATACTGGGTGATCTCCAAATGCTGGAGATGAGTAGCTTTTAAAAGAAATGTTTAATTTTTTAGGATTATAAAGGTATCACTTGCTAATTACAGGAAATAGAGCAAATGCAGAAGAGTATAAAATAAGAAATAGTCTATAATGCTAACCCCCTTGAGAAAACCAACACTGATAATATGGGTTTTTGCAGTTCTCTCCCATACACATACATAGACTCAAAATTGGGATCACAATTTTGTGTTCTTTATCCCTGCAAAATGTTATCAATTCTTTACACATATCATAGTGAACTTCTGCACCTATCCAGTAGGTAAACTCCTAGCAGTGGAATTGCTGAGTTCAGAGTAAATACGTTACTAGAATTAAAAAAAAAAAAAATACATAGAGCTAAAGTGCCCTCTTGGGTGGCTAAGCCACCCACACTTGAGTTACTGTCACCAAGGAGTACCATTTCTTTCCAGGGCTTCTAAGCCCTGGAAGTCCAGTACTTGACTTTGACCAACTGGACAGGTTAAAACAGTAATTTTGCTGTTATTTTGGCCTGTGCCCCTTGGATATAAGTAAGATTGAATATGTTTCCAAATGTTTATCCCATTTGTATTTCCTTTCCTAAAAACTACCTGTTAATATCCTTTGCCCACTTTTTCCCCCTAATAGATTGGTAGAGCACACTATTCATCTCTGTCAAAGAAACCTGTCTTTTGTTAATAGTTCTAATTTGTCCTTTTTTTGAGAGACATTTAATAGATAATTGTTTATTTTTGGCATTTATTCAAGATTAAATCTTTATAGTTTCTTCCTTTGGCACTGGGCTTAGAAAGTTGTAATAAGTGAAATATTCATCTAAACTTTCTAATGTCTTTGCTTCCTATTTCATCCTAATTCTTATCTATAATCAATTTTAACAACATGGGAGAAGTGAAGGGAATAAGCTGCTATTTTCAACCTCATAATGAATGAGAGGTCTCCTGCCTAACATTCCTTTCCTCCCCAGTCTGAGAAGGTATTTTGCCCAATATAAAATTATATGAAAAGAATTTGTTTCTAGGGCACATAGTTTTATCCACTGATCCTTCTATTAAGTTTTATACCATTATCATATTTTTTTGATTTTTTTATAGTTTTTGTTTTAATATATAGCATAAAATGTTTTAATATTTTTTCTAAAAAAAATTGCTTATAGCCCAAGTCTAATGTAATTAAAAAAACTGAAGTTAAGAATTATCTGGGATTTTGATTTTAGTTATAATAAATCTATAAAGTAGAAATAACTTATGTCTCTATAATATTTGAATCTCCTAATTTAGAAGCATGGACTTTCAAAAATTTATAGTTTTCCCCTAAAATACTCTTTTCATATTTCTTATAGAATTTTCCCCAACTATATTATTTCTTGGTCATTTCTGTGAATGGGACCTTTTTCAGATTATATGTTAAGTTGGTTATCAGTTTATTTATTTTATACATTTACTCTATAACTAGCTTGTTCCCTAAACTCATTTTTAAAAATTTTTTCACATGATGCTAGGAAAACAATTACATCCTTGAAAAAAGAGTACAAATTTTGCCTTCTTCCACTATGCGCTGTATTTTATTACCTTGCAACTGTGCAACAACAGGAGCAGCAGGATCCAGTACCATCATTGCCACTTTTATAGACCTGATTTTTGTGAGAATGCCACTATCGTTTCACTATTAAGTGTAGCTCTGCTAGTTTGCTTAAAAAAAAAAAAAAAAACAAAACACTCTGTGTTTTGTTATCTTTAATTCCTACCCTACTAGTTTTTAAAAATGGGAAATGACTTTTCAGTATCTGTTGAAAGTCTTTAGTATCAAGTTTCTTTCTTTGACCTAAAACTTAACCAAGTGCAACTTAAGAGTGAGAAGGAATTTCTTAGAAGGTAAAAAGCAGTGGTCTCTGGGGCTGGGGTTGTGGCTCAGTGGTAGAGCTCCTGCCTAGGATGTGTGAGGCACTGGTTTCAATCCTCAGCACTGCATATAAATAAATAAAGGTCCATCAACAACTAATTAAAAAAAAAAGCAGTGGTCTGTACAACTTAACCATGGTCATACTTCACCAGACTGTGGTACCAGGTCATGGTGGAGAGAAAAAACAAACTACCCAAGATTCTTCCTTTCCTTGGCCACTTAGGAATCCCCTCCTGGCCTGTCTGTCACACTAAACTGACCCTGAACCAGGGGAGCTGCCTCAAGAGGAGGGCAGAATGGAGTGACAGGAGGGAGGTGGAGTTCCCCACCTGGTGGGGAAGGCAGGAACCTAGAGCAGGGGACACAGAGATGGCAAGGGCTCAGAGGCATCCACTGTGTAAACCTGCTGCTCTTACCGTCTGTTCACAAACTGGCATTAATATTGTCCTGTCCTATTCATGACTTACCCTCCTGGGGAGCTTTGTGTACCGAACATAGTCCTCCAGGAACAGAAGGGCACCCACAACATCTGCAGGCATTTCAGGTATCTTCTGGCTGGAACAGAACAGTCCGAATCAATTAACTGATTAGCACATGGTAGGCCCTGAGTCAAAATACTGAAAGACTAATAACAAATCCACAGGGCACCTTCGTGGCTGGTCATAGTCACTAGTGCAGAAGAAACAGGAAGGACATGCTCATGCTTGACAGGGAACTCTGGTTGGAGACAGCCAGGTGTGTGGAGGTCACTTCCCACACTCGGGAGCTGGAATCCTTTGCCTCTCTGTGGCTGGCCAGCTGCAGTTTCAGGTGCCTACTGCCTTCCTTCCCAACTGACCTCACTTGGTCATTGTTATGATTTCATTTTTGACAGTTCTTACCTTTCTGCTCTCCCCCTTTTCCCAATTGTTCAAAATTCTGCTTTTAGAAGCAATTCCGATTATATGACCTAAAAAACCATGCAGTATCTACTATTTAATTCATTAACCAAGATTGGGATGAACTGGCCTGTAACTCATGGGCAAAAAAGACAGGATTTAAAAAGAAAGCAAAAGAGTCTGAGCCCTTGGTATTCAGTGGCTGTCAGTTCTAGCAGCACTGCCGTCCAGGGGGCCCAGCTCCATGGAGCGTCCACTCCACCTGCAGGGCTGTATTTAGAATTTCAGTATGAGTTTGGGAAGTCACATTCTATAATGGCCAATAACAAACCCTCAGAAGAGATGCCCTGATAGGTGAGCAACCCCCACACGACAGCACATCAGGAACAAATTCCATTAGGATGGAATCTAGATAGAGAAGGCCTATGGCAGCTACTGAAACCAAGAGTTGGAAGTGATGTGCAGACCGTGGGTATTCTGTGTTATCTCAATGGGAAGAAGAAAGCTCAGTGAGTGAAACTCCCAGAGACCTGGGTTTCTAACCATCAGGAACTTTCTATTTTTGAGAACAAGACCTCTCAAGTGTACTCTATTGCCTGAAGAGGTGGCAAGAACCTCACTGATGAGAATGGTCTGCAGCTGGGAGGACTGACTACCTGCTGGGAGTCGTAGACCTAATTCATGCACTTTCGGGGAGCTTAATTAAATGGCCTTTGAAGTCCTTTCCAATTTTTGACCTCAGCAGTGTTTCCTGAAGACCTGAAAGACTGCCCTCAATAATTAGTCTAAGTTATACTGGCCAGATGACCAAGAAGTGTAATCTCTCAAATTTTGCATGTGTAACATGACAGAGAAATTTATTTAGCCAGGCTGACCCTTTAGGACGGCAGAGGAAGAGGCTCAGGACCCAACACCTCAGGGATGTAATCTTTTTTTCTCCCTATCCTAGAAAAACTACAATTGGGGAGGAGGGAGAAAGAACTAGAAGGAATTACAGATTTACAAATCTGTATCAAATAGCAGCTTCTAGGCCATGCCTGTTTCATTACACACCAGAACTCCAACTCTGCCCTGGCTTTGGCCCCTTGTGTCTGTCTACACTGAAGTGTGTGAAGCCATCTCTTGGCAGTGGCCGGCAGGAATGCAGGGGCTCACTGAGTTTTGAGAGCTGGATCCAGGACGGATCCAAGGTCCAAGAGCAACAGGGCTGCAAGAGGAATGTGACATGTAGGTCAATCTCCCTTTGTTGCCACTGAGTTCCATTTACTCTCCCGTACCTTGTGCACTGCTCCACTGTGGAGCGGATAAACTGGCCGATGAGCGCCAGGAACTGCTCGGTGTACCGGGAATGAAACTGCTTCAGCAGAGTGAGCAGTCCCAGGACGAGCGGCGGCCAGTCAACAGGGTCGGCAGGTTTTCGGCAGACCATTCCTGCAAGGGAACCAAGGAAAGCACCCAGTGAAGCGCTTGCCTTTGGCAAAGCTCACTAAATCTTACTGTTCATGAACAACAATGTGTGGGGTCTCCATCATCACTGGCAGGGGACATGGAGGCAACGACAATTCTGGAATTAGCCATAGGAATGGAGGAGCATCCTAGTGGCATGAAATGATGCAAAACAATGAAATGGTTACTAATTTACAAATGTACTTACAATTTTTTTGGATTATGTAATTAATGGATGCTACTGCAGACAATTTTAAGAAGTAGATCAAGGTAAATGAGAAAGCAAAAGTCACCCATAACTGACTTCCGTTAAAGGCATCATGGCAGACTAGGTACCCTGAAGTACTCTCTTAAAACAATTTGAATTTTGGATAAAATGCATTAAAAGTATCTTTAAACACAACGTTGAGTGTCACACAAGAACACAGTCTGCCAAACTCAAGAGAGTGGGAGAAATTTAAGACATGAGTGAATAACCAAACTGGCTCTTCCCTGAGGGTTTCTGCCCAAATCTGGAGACTGACTTCTGTCTGGAGGGCTGCACCGGCAACTGGAGACGGCTTAGGAAACACTGCTGAAAGCTGGACGGCCTGCACTGCCGGGTGGAAGGCTGCTGAAGCCAGTGACCGAGGCAGTGTCGGCCCAGGAGAGAAGACTAGGTCAACGGAACAGAGCACTCCAGGAATAATCCACTTGTACGATCAGTGGAATTTCTACAAATACGCCACAAACTTTAATGGAGAGAGACCTTTACAGTGAATAGTACTACACTGGGTGGCCTTGACTCCCGCCTCACGTCATACACAAAAAACAACCTGAGGGCTAGGGCTGTAGCTCAGTGGTGGAACGTTTGCCTACACATGTGAGGCGCTGGGCTCAACCCTCAGCACCACATGAAAATAAAGAAATAAAACAAAGGTGGTGTATCCATCTACAACTAAAAAAATATTAAAAAGTAACTCAAGATGAACCTCAATGAAAAAGTTAAAACCACAAAGCTTGTAGAAAAGACCTAGAGGAATATCTCTGTGACCCTGGGGTAGGCAAAGATTTCATAGAACGAACAAATTGATAAGGGGAAAACTTGATAGAGTGAACACAGACAAGCAATGGTTTATGAGAAAATGTTCTTATTGAATAAAAACACAGGGACCGCTGAGAGAGGAAAAACTCTGGGAAGATGAGCCTTCACCTCCTGTCCCTGTGTAGCAGCCACCCCAGAACAGCTCCCTGGACTGATTGTGACCGCTGAAGTCATATAAGTGACGCATGGTGAAGCTAGAATCCAAACATACATCCGTCTCCTCCCTCCCATAGCAAATATTTTTTTTTTTTTGACAACATTCTGTGGCAGTTATGGGTCTTGTGATGGGAATAATGTCTACAACCAATAAATATTTTTGAATGGAAATAAAGACATTAAAAGATACTCCATACTTTTGCCCTAAAAATGTTCAAGAAATATCAAGTGAAACTATTTAAGAGAGAAATGCATTTTAAAATCTCTGGTTAAGAAAATATATGGTAACATTTGTAGAAATCTTTTTATAGTGCTTTTTAAATTAAAAAGTATAGTGGGTTAAAAAAAATTCCACTGGGGCTGGGGATGTGGCTCAAGCGGTAGTGCGCTCGCCTGGCATGCGTGTGGCCCGGGGTTCGATCCTTAGCACCACATACAAACAAAGATGTTGTGTCCGCCAAAAACAGAAAATTAAATATTGAAATTCTCTCTCTTTCTCTCTCTCTTAAAAAAAAATTCCACTTAGTTGGATATGAAGTTTGGAGACAGAAAGTATTTGAGACTCTATAAGGTAATTACAAAAATGTTCAAAATAAACTAAACAATGACAAAAATATTAATCATATTTCTAGACAGGACAAATACACTGAAAGCCTTTGGTATCTATTGCTCATACCAAATATTATGACATATAATTATACTCATATTTAAGTATTAGATATCCATGTAGTATAGTCTTATCTCCTTAGCTATATTGTTACTCTTCAAATCACAGTTCCTGATACATTGGAGGCAGGTGGCACTTGTTGCAAGAATAGAACATTAGCCAAAAGAAGTTTCTTTCACACCATAGTGATTTGCTTAAACATTAAATGACAGAAGCAAAGAACAGGTTCCTCACATGATGCAGGCTAGATAACGAACCCTTAGAAAGGTCCTTGCCTTATTTTGGAGTCTACTGGCTCCATTGAAGGGGTGTCAAAATATTTCAGAGGCCAAAGACATGGATTTCATAGCATACAAATAACTAAGAAGCAATCTCATATCTGAATGTTAAGCTATTGTTACTATAACTTATTGCAAAGAACACATGTCATACGTACCTAGATTTTTGTTGTACTGAAGTTTTGGCAACTGAGCAATCAGAAATAGAAAGTTGACAATTGGGAAATAGGGCAAGCGTTTTGTTGTTATATAAATCTGGAAAGAGAAAGGCAAGAAAAATTGATGGCTTCTTCTCATTATAAAACAACACAGAACACATTTTCAAATGAAAAGTTTCAAGTCATATCAGTTTGCTGTCTGATTCTTAGATTCTTCCATTAATTTGCCGAGTTCTGTTTATCAACTGCGACCCCATCCAATCACAAATACCATATCACCTTTAGTCCTTCTGGAAAGAACAATATTTTAGAGACTAGCAGTTCCTTCCCCCTGAATCCTGCCATGTCAGTAATAAAGGGAGGGAGAAGGGTGGAGAGCAAGAAGCGAGGGAGGGCAAAACTCGGCAGTCAAGGTGGAGCTGGAAGCAAAACAGGAAGAGAGCAAGGAGCGGGCAGGGAGAGGAGGGCAGAGAAGGAGAGAGGGAAGAGACCCAGGCAGCAGCAAGTGAGAGGACACAGAGACAGAAAGCCAAGTCCTCCTCTGTCACTGGCTCCCCAGGGCAGCGTCACAGAGCAGTCTCCCTCCCAGTTAACAGGACAGAAAAGACAGGGCAGGCACAGCCATGCCATTCTCCCCACCACTCACTTCCACAGGGACAGGGTAGCACACTGGCCAGGGGCACAGGCACCATCAGCCCTGTGGGCCCCGCCACCTGTGAGTATGCAGCCTTGGTCAGCATTAACCAATGAGGTCCAAGCTCCAACCCCAGACTAGGCCCAAGCCAATCTTCACGGACACAATGTTTTCACAGCTCTGACAACACCACAGTGCTTGATTCTCACACCCTGAGCCAGGCAGGGAAAGTGAGATCAAAGCAGGGAGGGCATGAACTTGAGAGAATGGAAGCTCTGGGGTCTGAATGCAAGTTCTCCAAACATTTCATGCACTGATCTGTAACCTGGGTCAAATGGCCTTCTGCAGTGCATGTCCCCACCACACCTCTGTACATGTTAATTACAAACCTTATTCAGCGGGTTGTGGATGCCAGCTGCCTCCAGGTAGGCTGTGATTTCATATAAAAGTGTATTATCTTCTTTGGGGTAAGGAAGTGAAGGATCCTGATAATGGGCTTCAATATCTGCCAGGAGAGCCCTACACAAAAGAAACAGTGGTCAACATGAGGCTCTAGCTGAATTCACACACAGTTAACACAGACCAGTGATGTGATCATTCTAGGCCTCAGTTTTCTTATGTTCAAATGGGGGCTTGATCCTTCTAATTCCCAATCTGCACACCTGTGATTGCTTGTAAGTGGAGAATTTGACCTAGGATCACTTCATCTGTTGGAGTCAGCCTAGATCAAATTCTTTCCCCATTCAGACTTATGAACTGCCTGAAGTGGTTTCAACACCTGCTTTTTTCAGAGTACTGACTTTGTAATGGAAAAGCATGAAGTGTTCATCTTTCAGCAGAAGGCTGGAAATGAGAGCAGGGTGCTGGTGGGTAGTGGATGTGGGAGTGCCCTGGAACAGGGGCCCATACTCTCTCCTGGTTATTAACACACTTTCTGTTTTTCTCTGGGTGATCAGGGATCATCAGCCCTGTAGAAGGCCAGTTGTGCCTTTTGGTAATAACTACTTTCCAAGTCTGTACAAGTACCTAGTGTAATGTCAGGTGAGTATTATGTGATCAAAAAATATTGGCAGAATAAATGAATTCATCAGAGAGAGAAGAAAGAGAGAATATTAAGAGATTCTTCTCTAGAAAGATTTGTTTATCTGTGGGAAGAAGGCCTTGAAATTCAGAGACCGCTTATCCCAAACACCTTGGAACAGTAAGAACTGAAGGGACCAGGGCGCTTGGCTGATGAAGAGTCCAGGCACACAGAGGGCTGCTGGAAACCCTGGCACTTACTTGTTGAGATTCTCCAGAGCAGCTGCCAGATGTTTGGAGTCAAACCGACAGGAATAATTTAATTCATTGGCAATCTGCTGTCTCAGAATCTGCATCTGTCCAACCTGGAAGAGCAGGGAAAAGAAGAGGTGGTACAGGGTCAAGTCCTGCAGAGAGCAAGGAGGCAAACACAGGGTGGCAACTGTGCACTGAAGGTCACAACATGGCAGAATGTGTAAGGCTTCCTGGACGGGCTTCAGGGACACCAGCATTAAACCCTTCAAGGGACACCTTGGAAGAGCCCCACCTGCCAACCTCAACAGCCCCACGTCTGAAGCTGTCACGGTGACCCACTGATGTTCAGTTGTTCTTGTATCAAAGATGCTCACTGTGAAGCCATGTTTTTTGACTTCTGGAATAAAGCCTTCAAGTTTAGCAGTTGCTATGAGAAGCCTGATTTCCTCCTATTTATCCTACACCAAACTTTCTCAAGTCCCAAGAATGCCATTTCACTGTTGTGTTCACAAAATTGAGAAAATTCAGTCCCAGTGGCATTCTTGGGACTTGAGAATCCATGTCACACAGGATTATAGGTCATGTAATTATCTGGACCTATAAAAAATCATTTTTATTTAGATAAATGTGCCTTAGACCTCTTGGGGGAATCTTGTGACATCTATGGGACACCATCTCAGAATAATACTTTTGAATGTAAAAACAGGTGCAGTGGCACACAGCTGTAATCCCTGCAACTTGGGAATCTGACACAGGAGGATCACAAGTTCAAGGTCAACCTAAGCAATCAGTGAGACCCTGATTTAAAATGAAATAGAAAAGACTGGGAATGTAGTTCAGTGGTAAAGTGCCCCTGGGTTCAATCCCCAGTACCAAATAAATAAATGAATAAGCACACATCTACACATCTACACACAAAACAAAATAAAACAGAGGATTAGAGTGGAGGCCAACTGTAATGAAATGTAATGATCAAACTATTAGAACTCTTGAACTGTGTCAAAGAGTCATGTTTAGAAGGTAGATCAACCGTGGTAATCTCAAAGCAGTGAGGAGTATAAATGGTTTGTGGAGAAGTCCAGAATGACCGTGGGGCATGAGAACTGACTTGGGGTAAGCTGGAGAGAGTTCAGCTCCCCCCATCAACCTGTCACCATCATGAGCTGCACAGGACATGCTCACCTTTTATGTTAGGGAACTTGTCTAGGGAGGGCATCTCTGAGGAATGGCAAGGGGACTGTCAGGGGGAGGGGTGGGCAGAGGCTCCTCTATAATATAAGCGGCAACCAGGTGGAGACCAACGTATTGCCCCTAAGTTGCTCAGCGCAGAGAAGAGCTAAGAAAGACAGAGTGGCCTCCTCTGGAAGAGGAGAGAAGTCATTTAGATAATGGAGTCCGCGGCAGTTATAACGTGTTAAATAACCTCCATGTATTCTTACAAGACTATTATTCCACTTACATGAAGAAATAAAAGTCAATCCAAAAAATGGTACTGATAGATAAGAAGTATTTAAATTTATAGAAAAGTACTATTTAAAATTTTGAGGGGCTGTGGTTGTGGCTCAGTGGCAGAGCATTTGTTTAGCACGTGTGAGGCACTGGGTTCAATCCTCAGCACCACATATAAATACATGAAATAAAGGTATTTAAAAAAATTCTTTAAAAAATTTGAATAAGGCCAAGAAAATGTTAGGTTCTCTCAGGCTACTCAAAAAGGTCCCTGAAACCTTGAATCTGTACCGTGTAATTCCTTGCATAACTCTTTGTCTAGGGTTCTCTGGGTCAATGATTCTCTTGCAATTATAGTACTAGAAATGGAAACAAATAAAATTGGTTGAATGTAATTTGTTCTCATTTAATGGATATGGATTCCTGGCGACTGACATTTCTTATTTTTGGTCTTCATGACCAGCTTAGAAACTATTGGAAAGGCTAATGTGCCTGGGGTGGGTGAGGAACTCACTGCACCTACCTATCTGCCTGTTTAGACACCTGGCTTATCATTCTTGCCCCAAGATTCTTTTAAAGTGGCAGTGTCCAGGGCAGCAGTCACTAGCCACATGTAGCTATTTAAATTAAAATGAAATGCAATTAAACATTTCATTTGCCAGTTCTACAAGCAGCATTTTCAGGGCCCCACAGCTGTGTGTGACTCGTAGCTGCTGTCACCATCAACACTTCCATCACTGTTCCAGGTCAACCCTGGATTAGTAACTGCAATTGCTTAATTCTAGATAAAAGACAAATCTGCCCCTGGGGGCTTTATTTAAAGACCACTGACTTAGACATGACCACCTGGCTACCAGTGAATACTAGCAATTATAACTAACAGCATTGTAGCTGCTGGTCTGAGAAGAGTCTGGTAAGTCATGGGCAAACTCTGAGCCCCTTGGAAGAGTCCCTGCAATCTCCCTACGCTCCCACAGAGCTGAGTTTCTGCTTGTGTGACTGCAGGTAATTTCCCACTCCCCTAAAATGCTTTCCTGCAGTTGGAAATGTGGCCTAGAAGCCCTCACATCAGACGGTCAGAGGCTGAGGCAGTGTTACAGCTGCACAAGAGGACACCCAGCAGAGCCAGAAGCTCCTTGTCTTACCAGTTGTTCTCTCAAAGGTAAAACAAAAACAAGAATGAAAAAACTACTCTCTGAACTTGTAGTAAATAAATTATGAGTTTGGCTGATACACCATAGCTTTTACGACTGGGAACAAGAGAATGCAGCCACCCCTGTGGCCTCTAGACTTCTCCCATGACATGACATACTTTCACCATGAATCCTAGTTCCCCCAGGGAATCTACTCCTTTCTACTAGAGTAAGAAAACTTCGAGGGGACACAAAGGGTTTCCTTTAACTCTTTTTCGCAGCAACCGCCAAGACCTTGCACATAACACACATAACAGGTACTTCATAAAGTGTTGTTGAACATCTCTGGTGGCAATCAATGAGAGAGGGACACGCAGAAGATGCAGAGGGCCATGGGAAATACATACGGCCACAGGGAAGGGAGGAAAGGGGGTGACTGGATTCTAAATTAAGCTGGGTTTCCACCCAGCTGATGAATTCCTCATTTGCCATTCATCCTCATTTCCAAAGACATAGTGTTTTACTGACAGTGTTAAGCATAATGTTCCACCCTGAGGACATGGCTCCCAAACACCTACGTAGACCCAAGAAGGGCAAGGGACAGAAGTCCTTGCAGCCCCCAGGACTGCAAATGGACAGATGAGTTCATTTAAAAAGGTTGGAAGAAAATTTCCATCTCCTTGGATGGAAACATCTCCGGCCAAAGGCATATAAAAAAGAACTAGTTTTCCTGAGCAAAAGGGAAACATAGACCCTCAAAAAGCCTCGTTAAAAACAGCCCAGAGAGGAAGCAAAGGAATAAGTGAATTTAGAAATAACAATAAAGTACAATATTTTTGTTTTAATTGCAAGAGTAGTTTTTTTTTTTTTTTTGGCCAACAAGGTACAAGGAAATAAGCTAAAAACATAGTATTGATTATCGCCTTCTCCATAGCATACCTTCATTATAGCCTCGAGGTAAACAGTCCAAATCTTCTGCGTTTTGGCAATGGCAGAAAGATAAATTTTATTTGAATTTGCTGAAAAATTAAAAAACAATTTTCTATTTAGTAAACTCAGAAAGGCCACAGTGTCACCCCCTCCTCGGCTGGACTCAGGATGCTTACCTACAATGCTCTTTAAGGGGCTGACGGCGTTCATGAGGGTTTTTAAAGTATCCTGAACGGTTCTATCTCTCAGGATAATTTTCTGAAACATACTGAGGAAATTCTAAAAACAAGGACGTGTGATTAAAGAACCAAACAAAATGAACAGAAAGAACACATACTCGAGTAGTTTACTCAACAGTTGTGAGGAACAGGGACTTCACCTGAGCCACACAGCCTCTAAATAGGAAGACAGGACAGCAGCAACTCAGGGTCTTGTGGGGAGAAATTATTGGCTTTAAAGATAAAATATCTCATCCTCCCAAGCTGAGACTCCCCAAAGCAGTCTACTGTACCAATACTATGACTGCCAAGACATTCCAGCTTACTCTCTATTCTTATCTACCCGTAAGAATCAAATATGTCTGATGTCAGTGTAAGAAAACACAAAAGAAAAGGCACGTGGGTTTAACTGGCCCCGAAAGCCGTCCTCTCCCGTCCCTGTGGAGATAGGCCTGCCTGCCCCAGGCTCACCTGCAGCTCCTTCACGATCATGAAGCACAGAAGCCTGTCTAACCCATTCAGACCAAAGGTCCCCAAGGTGGTCTGAATTTCTGAGAAGAGGCGGCTGCTGGTCACTTCTTGATGAGTCTTCATATCATACCAGGTGTTCAGCTGGTCTATGTGACATGTCATCCTAAAACCAAAGCAAAACAAAGCAAAAGCCCCAGAGTGGCTCAAAATTCATCCTGAAGACATGGACTCATCAGAATCTGGAGTACTGAATGCTCAGAGTAACAGGTACATGACTCGTGTTTTCTAACTTCTGCGTCTAGGCACCCAGTTAAGGAACTGGGAGGAAAAAGCACAGTGCATAGTGACCCTCTCCAGTGGACAGCGGGCAAATAGTTGGACCCCTTCCCTCCTTGGCAGGCCTCATGGTTCCAGTCACTCCTTGCTACTGGGAAGGGCCACTAGTTTGGAATCACATTGAAAAGACCAGGCTAGGCTCTGCCCTCAGCCAGGACTGAGGACAAGATAGTCCTCAAGTCATTTCCTTTTGGCCTTGAAGAAACTGAGAATCCTTGTGCGCTAACATCTCAAGCAGTGATGACAGAGCTGTTTGCTCTTTCCTCCCAGTTCCTTAAAAACACAGATGCTGTCTTCCAAGCACCTCCCAGGCTTCCTTTTACACTCATGATGACAACCAGCAGCATCCAGCGACTGCTCGGTGTTACTAGGATGGGCCTGGCTCTAGCTCTGTACCCCTAACAGCCACTTCGAATCTTTGGCTCTCAGACTGTCGGGAGGGCCCCTGAACCACTTGCAGAGCTGTTAAAAACAGAGATGCCCACTTTCTACTCTGGGGACTCAGGCTCAGGAGATGTGGGCAGAGTCCCAGCCCCTGCTTTTCAACAAGCTCAACAGGTATAGGCCCCACTTTCTAAAATCCACCACTATACACCATTGCTAAACAGGGGTCTGGGAGGAGCTAAAAGAGCCCCAGGGGGATTAAATTTGCAAGTAAGCGGAGATTTTCCTGGGCTACTGATCAATCATTCTGCTTGGTGAGCGTGTGCCCGGGTTAAACCTGAAACAGAAGACAGGAACCTGTTCTTCCCTCAATTGGTCTTAGTACCAACTGCTTCTCCTGTGGCTCAGATTAAGAAAGAGGAGAAAATGAGTTCAGCTGAACTGAGAGGCAGCATGCCAGTCTCTAACAAGATGCGCACCTAAAATATTGTCAAAGGTAGTTTTAATAATATATTTGCCCAGTTCCTGCTGAATGCAGAACCCATGTGATGTGACTATAGATGGGATTCACCAGGCACAAAGTTAAGTGGTCTGCTATTCAACAGAGCTGGGCTCCAGGGGCAGAGGGCCTGCTGTGTATTCTGGGCCCACCATTTATTATGATGTTGGGCAAGTGACTAATCTTTCCTGTGCCTCAGTTATTCCATACCTAGAATGGGAATAATAACAATAATGCTGACCTCCCAAGATTACTGTACTGTGTTGATGCACAGATGTATTCTATGCTGAGAAGAGGGCACTGGTAAGCGCTCCACAGATGTTAGTGTTTACTATCAAAAGGGCTTTGTTCTGGGCTAAGAAACAAGGAGGTCACCTTCAGGGTCAGGATATGAGGTGACAAGTGCAAGATCCAGGGGCTGAAATTAGGGCGCATGCCACAGTGACACAGGTACACATGGTCATCCACGGGACTCAAGGCTCAGCAGAATTTAGAAACACCTACTTTGGGTCTGTGATCCGCAAGATTTCTCTGCAGAGTCGACCAATAAATGTGACGGACTCGTCCACAGGGGGGAGCTTGGGTATGGGAATGTGAGTGGACTGGTACATGCTCTGCCAGTCCTGAATCTAGGGAACAAAACCACAAATATTTAGTACACTTATCTGTTTCCCCATAATTTTACAAAGATAAAACTGAACAGTGACAATGACTATGAAAATGAACAGTGACAATAACTACTCTTTGGTTTAAAGAGGAAATTTTTAATACTAGCTTCCCAGAAATGCTATAGGTAATTCATAAATAAGAAAATATTTGAAGCAACTAAGGAGAAGTGAGAAAGCCGTGGGTTTTTGTCTTATGAGCTGATGTGCATCAGTATAATGGAAAGCCCTGAAATATTATAAGGTTGGAAGACACTTAATAACCTGTCATGTAAGTCCCTCACCTAAAAACCTGCAGTGCTCCTTACTGACTGCAGAAATCTCAGCCCTGGCACTCAGGAATTCGGGGCTCTATCTTTGCCCAATAAAGAAAAAATGAGTAAAGAACTTCAATAGATACTTTCTTAAAGAAAATGGCCACTAAAATGGCCAGTAAGCACATGAAAAGGCACTCAGGGTCACCAGCCATTAGGAACCACAACTCAAAACCATAAGACCCACTCACAGGATGGTGAAGTGCTGTTGATAAGGAGGAGGGAAGGCGGACTCTCAGACTGCCCAGCACCACTGCAGAAGGCCTGGTGCTCCTCTCCCCAGAGACCAGGTACATTCCCTGATCCAACCCACTGAGAGGTGCCTGTCTCCTGCACTCAGTCACGTGGGCTGAAAAGTTATAGCCAGCAGCCCTGTTCTGTGGCCATGTAATCATGCTTGCCTTCTTGAGGCAGGAAGCTCACCGAGGTAAGGTGCCATGTCAACTTCTCTGCCACCCTGATGGCTCCTGAAGGTGCTCTCGAGTGCTTACTGATTTTGAGTAGCTATTTAAACAAACTTTTTGTTGGCACCTCTGAGATTTAGAGTGTGTATTTTAAACATAAGAAATACCTAGTAAAATCAAGAACTTTAAAATTGTTAAATACCTTTGTTCTTAGGAAGTTATTACACTCTTGTTCCACATTGTAATTTATAATACGAGAGACTTCTTCCTGCCAAATCTTCAGACCATAAATGTTGACATAGTCCTGTATGTATTCAAAAGAACGATGGAATCCATCCATGGTGGCTCCCAACTCTTTCAGCTTGGGCATCAGTTCACTTGGCTGTGTGAAAAAGAGAAGATGTGCAAAAAAAAGAAATTGTGCAAAAAAGCTCCAAAAAGTTATCTGACTCCTCTGCTCCTTTGCCAATTCAGCTGAGAGTTGTGGCCACATTCCAAAAGATTATCATTACTAATACCTTCATTAGACTTTAATACACTGACTAAGGAGCCACAGTCACAGTTTAAGACATAGTATAAGCATTGGAAAATTTCCGACTTCATCTTGGCCGAGTGGCAAGAGATGTCAGATATTTAGCAGAGAATACATTTTATTCCTTTGGAAAGAAAGTTTCCTATAAAGGAATATAAACAATGAATGCTGGTGATTTCTCACATATCATTTGGTGAACATATCTCATCTTAGTACCCTTAAAAATATTTTAAATTAAATTCATTGACTTGAAAAATACTCTATAAATTTTAGGCCTGTTTATTTTTCTCATGGGAAAAATTACTATATTTTCCAACAGATAAAACAAAAATAAAAAGTCAGTTTTCATAGATCCTATTAGCTTTAGGGCTAATAAATTCTTTTAATTATAAAAAGTAACTCTGAGACAGGTGTTGGGACATGAGCCTGTAATCCCAGATACTTGGGAGGCTAAGTTAGGAGGATTGCAAGTTCAAGGCCAGCCTGGGCAATATAGCAATACCCAGTCTCAAAAATGAATAAAAAGGGCTAAGGATGTAGCTCAGCAGTGGAATGCTTGCCTGGAATATGTGAGGCCCTGGGTTCAATCCCCAGTACCTTAAAAAATAAAAACGGCAACAACAAAAAAACCCTCTGAATCGTAAACATCAATTCTTAAACTTGGGGGTCAACAGGTGAAGGAAAGAAGCATTGGTTTTAAAAAGGATTTCCTGGTAAAATGAATGGATTATAATAGAGGAGCAAAGAGCCTATCAGTTGTTGGTCCCAAAGGTCACACTAGAGGAGGAAGGTCTTGTTACAAATAGTCCAAGCTGTGAGCTGAGCGAGAACAGGATGGATGCAATTTGGTCTTCTGGTACCTTGGCTCGAGGGTTGAATATCAGTCCTCTGTGAAGGGCGAAAGCAACCCGTTTAACCAGCTCCTTCCTTATTCCGTCTTCCAGCAACTGCTTCGGATCCACCTAAGTGCGAATCACAAGTTAGGAAAAGGCCAGTCCTGAATAAACACAGGGGAAAACCAATTCCCAGAAGGTAGCGCAGCATTTTCCTCCTTCTTCTCTAAATGATTTAGATTTTGTCCCTTTCCTATCCCTATCTGACCTGGGGCAGCTTGGGCAGAATTTCTAAACCTTCACCTCTTAGGATGCTCTTTACCTCGGCCAGCTTCATGAGATAATTTACAACATAATATGTCAAAGTTGATGAGTGTGGAAAGTTTTAATTGCCTCACATTTCATCATTTCGTTAAATGTTAAGTGCCTTTTCTTATCACAAGGAAAGGGCGGAGGAATGAAGGGCCTGGGCTGAATTCAGCTGCTTGTCTCTCCTCCAGATGTCATCTTGGGCCATCTGTCTCCAGGTGAGCAAACTCAAGTTTCGAGTTGCACCACTATAAATGGAATAATTCTTCTTCTTTCAATATTCTTAGGATGCCATTTATAATTAGGATGATAAAACAGGAAAGCAAATCTACTATCAAACTCTATACTTATTACTTTTTTCTGTAATGAGAAAGCTATTGTAGTTCCCTAAATAAATCTCCTGTCAGATCCACAGAACATCAAATGGTTTTAGCCCATGCCCTGGAATACCCTGAGACTTGTTTCTTTTCCTTTTGATTTGTAAAGAATCATTATTTTTAAGGTCACCAAGACAACTGACAGGTCCATCTGGTTTGGATTATATTTAAACTTCAAAGACGACAACTGTAATGGAAGTTGCAGAAAGCTCAAAAGCCTGAGAAACACATGTGGGAACTACAACTGGACTACGCCATCAGCACCCCCAAGCGTGCACTGCTGCAGGGCAAGGGCCTGGGCTCTGCAGCAGATTGACTGTGAGGAAAGAAAGGAGTGCAGGAGAACCTGCTGTTACACAGACTTCAGAGAGACAACAGTTTTTCCTTCAATGAGCACTTCTAAACTACAGTGTATACAAACTTATCTGCGAATACTAAGACCATAAAGGGAGAGACTGAGACTAGGTCAGGGCACATGGGGGAGACACAGGAGTAGAGGTGGTTAAATAGATTTCTTGACTCACACGGTGATCAGAATGAGTAGTGTGAACCTCATAATAATCTATTAAACCATACAATTATTTCTTCAACTTAGCATCTGTATTTTATTTTATAATTAAAAATTATAAATATATATATAGTTGAGAAATAACAAAGCTTTTGAAGAAATGATCCCAGGAAGGGCAGACTTAGGGGCTGGGTGTAGCACCGTGGAAGTGTATGTACTTCATGCATGAGGCCCTGAGTTCAGTCCCTAGCACACACACAAAAAACCAAGAAGAGATTTAGTGAAACAGTGGCTCTTCCACTCTTCCTGGATTTCCACTAATCAGCAGAAGTTTTCACAGCTAGGAAAGTCTCACACACACAGCCCCTTCCTCATGTTTCCATCTCCTTCCTGTGTTAGCACAGTTAACAGCTTTCATGGCTTCCTCCAGATCTTCCTCTATTCATTCATCCATAGAAATGTTCATCTACACACATATTTGATTTTACAAATCTAAATGGGACCACATGCATACATATGTGTTTAAACTTAAACATTCATTTATATACATATACCATAACATGTATGTTATCCTACATTTTCTATCTTGGAAACTATCCAGGGGCAAATTCTTTTTGAACAAAAGCAGAGCAATCTACAGTATGAATGTGTCATAACATTTAGCCATTCCCCTACCAATGGGTGTTTAGATTCTTTCTTTTTCTCTTTTGTCTGCCTCTAACAATGACTATTCATGTATATTTCTGTATATCTTACTGGTTTGAAGTCTTTTTGAGCACAATGATCCTATACTTCTGTAAGGTTTTGAAACACATCCTTAAGATGCTGAGGTCAAAGATCAGTGAGGGCCACAGAATTCCTTCCAACAGTCCTTAGCTGTTGTTATTGGTCTGGCAGAGTCTCCTAATTGGATGGGCTTGGTCAGTATGACATTCTTTCCAAAAGATTGTGGCAAAGATTTACACTTTATTAAGCAGTTCTTCTTTAATTATTGCTAATAATTAGGTCTTATCACATTCTTCCTCTACCTCTCCCTAGGGCTCATCGTACTTATGGATTAGTTGGGAGTAAATAAACCAGCATGTGTATTCTCTGCACATCATCTTAATTAATTTGGCATCAGGCCTAAAGTCATGTCGAGCAAAGTCTATTGAAATTTCAGGGGCATAATGACATTTTATTTATTTATTCTAAGTATTTTTCTAGAAAACATATACCTATGTTCTGTTTGTATTTGGGTTCATTTCCTCTTTTTTTTTTTTTTGGTATTTTAGTAATGCAAATATTTATGTGGCAATTCAACAGCTATCTAGTTTAAAAAAAAAGTTCCAATTCTTCTCATATCAGATAAATGGAAAAATAAAAGTACAATAAACTATGTGAAGGGGACATGGGGAGACATCATGAGTCATTGCAGGATTCAAATTAAAACATCAGTGAGATATCGATTATACCCCTTGGGCAAAAAATTAGAAAGAGGATAACATCAAGTAATCGCCAAGATGTGGGTGGAGCCCAGGAAATAGTCATTTCAGAAGGCAGGCTAGAGGCATGCAGACAAAATAAACACAGAGAGGCGGTGGGGTCCTGAGATGCCACTCCTAGGTATGTCCATTTCAGGGAAATTCCCACACAGGCCTGAAGAGGGGACAGTGCTGAGATGTTCACTGTGATAGTGGTTGTGATAAAGGAAGAAGAGGTGTCTGTCTCTGGTAGGATAGTTCAGTAAAGTGGGGAATTCGATGTAGCTGTAAGCAACCGATTATCTGATCTACAGCATCATAAATAAATTTCAAATGCAAAAACCAGTAAGAAAAGTTGGAAAAAGACTGAGTGCACAATGATTCAGAGAAACCAGAAATACAAGCGGACATTCAATTGTGTGCCCCTAAATATGCAAGTACTCTCATTTTTAGTAAATTGCATAATTAGGAACATGTCTCAGACACAGAGTGGTTTCTATGAAGAATGGGAATGGAAGTGGGGTCCAGGAGAAGAAAGAAAAAATAAAAGAGAAGCTTGCATGTGTCAGCGGGGATAAGAGTCTATGACCAGAGGGTAAAATTATAAGATAATTTATAAGCTAAGAGCTCTCCTCACCTGGGTGCAAAATAGAAACACTAAAATAAAAGAGAGAAACAGTGATGAGGAAAAAAAAAGTAGAAAGCAATCATGTCTAAGAAAATTGAGCCATTTTGTTTTCTTTACTATGACAAAAATTCAGGGAAACAGATTTTTCTTAGATTTAAAAAACTCTTGTATAAAACAGTTATTAATACTACATTTTCCCCTCCAGAACTAGAAGAAATTCTAAGATTATACATAAGATTGCTTTCATTATTATGAGCAATAAAGGTAATTTTTCTTCATCAACATGTGAGGTAAAACCAAAATTGGGATGAGAAATAGTAAGATGATAACATCACTCCCTGTTTCACACATGATAATTACCAGAAAAATCCAAACGACTAACCACAAGGGCACAAAGACCAGCATCGAGACACTTACCTTGATGATGCCAACTAAAGTTGTTTTCATCATTAAGATACCTTCGGTAAAAATGGAAATAGCATGGGTGAGCTTGGCAACCTATAACAAAGAAAAAGAGGAATTATGAAGCAATTGGGATAAGAGACTTGCCATTTCTATGGAAGGATAAAATAAGTGGATAATAGTCCTGGAATAGGCAAAGCACAGGAAACGGATGTGTAGCTTTGTAAAGAACATCGGCATCCATGTGCCCATACAGAAGTAAGGATTTGTGGCATAAGTGAAGTCCATGTTGGACATGTTGGGGAAGAGAGTCAGAGACATCAATCTATTCTCCAACATTTCACAAAGAACTTTCCCTTCTTTGGTCTTCAGTTTCTCACATCTAAAATTTAGGTGTGACTATTCTCAAAAGGTAAACACTGGTCATCACAAGAGTGTGAGAAAATGAATCAGAATCAGTCTAGTGGTCCCAGGTCATGGAGGTGACACAGGCCTGTGATAGTTTGTGGCTTTTAGTTTTAAATATGAAAAGGCAGCAGTCGGGGCAACATGGCACCTCGTATCGTGGGCTGAGCTGAGCATAGTCCCGCAGCTTGTCTTTGTCCAGACGGGTAGGCACCTCGATGATATCGTGGGTCTGAAGCTTTATGATCTTTAGAAGAGATGTAAACATGCTTTCTGGGATGATTTGCAAAACCTGTGAGGGCAGAGAAAGGGAGAAATACAATTGCACACCCTCGTTTTATTTTTCTTAGCTGTCAGATATTAGGATGACAGTAAGAAAAAGGGTTCTGGTGTGCACGAGCAGCAGTCTGTCTACAGGAGGCAACGCTGGAGAACTTAGTAGAGCTGCTTTCCTAATTGCTAGCAGCTGCAGCTCCCTCCTTCCAACATTAACTGCCCACAGAATAAAAACAATCCTTCAAAGTGCTGCAAAAAGATTTTTAAAAGACTGAGGTTCAGGGTTGGGGATGTGGCTCAGTGACAGCGCACTTGCCTGGCATGCATGAGGCCCTGGGTTCAATCCTCAGCACTGCAAGGAAAAATAAAAACTGAAGTTCCAAGACATCAAGTATCATCATGGTAGAGTACTCTGTTAGTACGTGATAGATAAATTTTAATCCAGGCATGTCTGGCTTCTTGTTGAACCATACGATATTCAAACTTTCAAGGACCCCAAGAAAGCTTAAATTAAGTTCAGATGAGGCTATGTTGGATCTAGATCTCTTTCACCAACCAATTGTGACTTTGAAGACACTGCTACAATCTCTCTTCCTCCCTCTCTGCATCTATAAAATGGTAGTCAATATCATTAGTATTCAAAAAATAGATATAAAATTTCTTTGAAAGTAAAGTCTGCCTGTCTATAATAGCAGGAAGAATACATTTATTTGCAAGTATTACAAATTTCTAGAATCAAGTTTAAAACAAACAAACAAAAAAGGAATACAATATACATTTTATAGGGCCCAAGTATACTTCTGTATTTTAAACAGCAGTTAGCTAATCAGCTAATCAAAGCAAAATCACCTGTATGTACTTCTTACCTTTCTCACATAGGACACCAATTCACCAGAATAATACTGAGACACACTGAGAAGGTCAGGGCTATTTGCTTGATTGATACGAAGAAGAGGCAGGTCAAGGGCAGAGGCAAGCTGTTAGAAAAATAAGATAATTACTATTTCTGTTTTTAAAAGTCCTAGAAATCTTTTTCTCCAGAATATGTAACATATAACAAAATACCTGGGCCTTACACAATGGAGGGCAACAACCACCAAACCTTGTCAATATCATGAATAGTTTCTGACAATATATTAAAAAAAAAAATAGAGTCACCTATTAAGGCGATAGCTTTTCAAATGTGATTCCTGGATCATCAGCATCAGCATTACCTGGGAACGTTTAGACATGCAAATTGTGGGACCCCATCCCAGACTGACTTCAGAAGCTCCAGGGGTGGGGTCCTGTGATCTGTGTTGCAATATGCCCTCCAGGTATTTCTGATGCATGCTCAAGTTTGAGAGCCACCATGCTAAAGGAGACAACTACTTCTCTGTGGAAATGAGACATTATAATTGGTGGACTACTGAATTCATCCAACCTGAGATGTCATCAAGTATGAGAAATGTCATTATTTTATGTGCCACTCAGAAAGAACTAAAGTGTTGACAACTAAACTATGATATGCCATCCAATATAAAACTCATTTAAAATTAGAGACGTTAAAATATGAAAAAATTACAGCTTGGAATTGACATATCTGGTAACTGTCAGAAGACATTGAGCAAACTATTTGTTCATTTATTATGCTCTGAAATGACCTTGAGAGTAACGAACATGATTGTGTTGATCATCACTATTCCTTCACCTTTAGAGTATAGACTAGTTTGTATAGACTAGTAGAGGTTCAATAAAAATCCTTCTAATGAATAAATAAAAGGACTTGATTTACATCTAATGAATAAAGACCCAAGGAGTCACATTTTATTAGTACACTAATAAAACTTAAAAATATATATTTATTTAAAAACAATATTCTGTAACATATTCCAACTTATTTAATCAAACTTCAAATATTTCTGGAATCTTTAAAAACTATGTTCTTGGAAGAACTGCTAATAATTTCCAGTGTACAAAAATGCTGAAATGATCCAACTTCCTGAAAAGATGAAACCTTTTGGGCTGATTAATGAGTGAGGCAAGGTGAAGGCCACAAATCCTTCGTGGTGTAACTAAGAATGTGACCGCGTGGTCCTTTGCCTACCTTCAGGAATGTGGCTCTGAGTTTAGTGACCATGGACGGGTTTACTCTTATGCTTTCTTGCATGATGGATGTGAAACTGTAAAAGAAATACATTTCTAAGAAGATGTTCCAGTGGACTTCATCGAGGGCAAATGTCAGTCTGTCCATGTTACCTGTCAATTAACTGCCAAGCAAAAGAAAGGTCCCCGACGATCTGCATTGTGATCAGGACCTCCTCTTTAATGTTAATGGTCCTGATCATTTGATGGAGGAACTTTCGAGTATCAGCGAGGAACTGACACACTTGCAAATTTGATTCCAACTGATGAAATTCCTGAACCTGTTACATAAGTACATTTAGTTTAAAAGTTCTGGCCTTTAAAGTACTCATTTTCCCTGAAAACACTTCATACAAGGCACACTATTTACAATTTCTTGATAAACTTTTTATTCCAAATTATAATTTCAGAAATACATAGCTAAATCATAAAAAGCTGTATAACTTTCCAGGATTAGAAAATTAGAAAATCCCCATCCAGTTTGATCCTGTATGTACAGGACATAATAAGTGAATGCTCTCATTTTCCATTTTACTATAAATAAAGATATATTGGAAAATGCTCTTAATTCTTTATCTGATTATCACTGCCTAAGAAAGATAAGAAGCTACATCACAACCAACGTGTTGGTGCTTATATATTATTTTCTTTTAGTATATTCTTTAAAACAAAATAATGATGCCATAATGTCCTAAAAATTTCATGTATATAACTCAAAAGAGGTATGGATTGCATGCCAAACTAAATAGGCTAAACACAGAAGGCATTAGAGATTTACAAAGTTGTTTCTAGTGTACCGTAGACTGAATAGCCTCCCAACAAGCATAATAGAAATAGTACAAGCATGCAATTGTTTTGAATGAGAAACTCTGGTAAGCTAACTATGGAGTATTATACTGTGTATTATACTGTGTTGCCATCCTAAAAGACCTCAAAGAAAAAAGAAAAAGCCTGAAGAAAGTCTGCCAAATGAAATAGTATTAATTCTATCTCCACAAATGTACAATCATACCAAATTGGACAGTGTTACAGATAATGAGTCTAGATGAGGTTTAAATAATAGTCTATGCTTGTATGTTCTGATGCTATTATTTTGCATTTCAAACCTAGTTAAATATACAATTAAACATTTAAGAGTGGTGAGGTAGAATCAGTGTTTTGGGTATAATCATTTTTGAATCATTAAAACACTATTTTTTTCCAGAAAAGCACATACACCACTTATAAGCATATGATCACTACATAATTATTTTCATTTTTGCTTATTTATTTCTAAGTTTGCCCTAGGTACATAATTTTTACAAACCTAAAACATTGCATATATGCACAGTTTTGTTTTTGCTTTCACCTCTTCATCACACTTTTCCCAACATCTCTATATCACTTTCATAATTATTTTTCTAAAACTATAGGTTTTCTGGAGTTGAATATCTTGACCCCTGCTATTTTTATAGTCATGCTCGTCACTGAATTTATTCCCCCATTTTAGGATACTGCATGTAACAGTACAGGGAACATATTAACTCATATTGCTTTTGCTGCTGATGAAATCTTCTCTTAGATATATGTTTATGAGCAAGCTGTTGTATAGGTCATAGGCAAGATTTCTGATCCAAGAATGAGAATTTGAAGACTTTTCTTACCTCCTCCAAAGCTTGTATTAGCTGCACAGTTTTTCTGCCTGCAGCAGTGGAATCATCATAATTTAAAGACAATATTTGTTTTGAGATTTCTCTGAACCAAGCTTGAAGATTTTCTATTGATACAGAAATAAGAAAGACTACTGAAACCCAGAATTCCTGTAACTTAATTAAATTATTTTATGAGTCTAGTTCTTTATATATAGAGTTTTTACTATATGCCGAACATTGCTTCCAGGAGTCTCCGAACAACAAAAATACCTGGAGTGTGTGTCCTCATAGAATAAACTTCTACATTAATAGCTTAGTCTAAAAAGCTTGGCAAAAGGGATTAAAGGCCCACATACATGTTATAAAACAACACGTGCCAAGGGGGCAATAGTGGCAGAGGAGAGTTGGGAGGGAACTCCCCAGTGACAGAGGTACTGGGGAGTTTTCTAGAGAAGTGAGAGAGGGTAAAGATCTGGACAGTCAGAGAAATGAAGAAGGGTTTTCTATCTAAATGAGGGGCAAGTATGAGCCAACTCCCAGGCTGGAATGATGGTGGCATGTCTTAGAGGGCAAAGAGGAGACCAATATGTCAGAAGCCTGAGGTCTGAGTGGGAATTCTGAGCAGGTGAGAGGTGCCATCTGCCTTCACAAACCAATAGGTAGTTCACACAGCATGAAAGGGAAGGGCTTTAACAGGCTCTGAGCACCCTGGTGTGTGAGGCAGAATTCTAGCTTGGTCTCATTTAATCTTCACAACAATGGAGGTTGGCACTTTGGACCATTTCTCAGATGAGGAGGCTGATGCTCAGAATGAAGAATCACAATCGCGGTCATACAGCTACTAAATGGGAGAGTCAGCACCAAGTTGATTCCCTACACTTTTGTGTTTATTAAAGGAGTGGTTGAACTTTATTCAGACTTAATGACTTATAATGCAACTTATTTCAGAAATTGGAACAAGAAATCTGTATTTAATTTTTTTTTTTTTTTTTTTAAAGAACTGATGAGGCACAGGTCTGGAGTAGGGGAAAGAGCACAGATTTGAAGTCTGAGGCCATGAGCCAGATCAAGGCCCTGGATCTTTGTTACCTTTGGCAATGATTACATTTTTAAAGCTTTGTTTCCTTATACATAGAACAAGGCTAAAGGTGTTTATCCCACAGGATAAAAATCAAATGACAAAGATTCCTAGGCTAGAATAAATTGCATAGCCAGAAAAAAAAAAGCATAAAATGATCATGTGAATGACCTCTGAAACAATCTGGTATTCAGAAAAACCTAATGAGGACTTTAATGGAGATTAATGAGCCTGATTCTAGTCAACTAATTTGGTCAGATTGTTACCGGTGGTTCTTGTTTTTCAGTCAAAATATGTTTTTTTTTTTTTTTACTTTTTATTTATTTATTTTTATGTAGTGCTGAGGATCGAACCCAGTGCCTCACACATGCGAGGCAAGCACTCTGCCACTGAGCCACAATCCCAGCCCCATCAGTCAAAATATGTTGACTTGCAAAACATGTTGCCAATTACATCACATCACTGTAAACTCACTTTCTACAATAGGAATAATAATATGCTTTGAAAATACATTTTAGAGCAACCAACTAGCATAAAATAAATCAACAAAAGCCAAAATACAATAATCACAAGTCCCTATTGATTAAAGATAGCAAAGTCATTTGTTTTTTAATAAAAAAGCTATTCTATTAAGTAATTGTACATATAATTAACATCAGATTCCAAAATGAATCTGATAACACCAACATCAAGCAGTAAAATAGCTTAATTTGTCACTTCAGAATTCAAAATGGTCTTCTGGGGGCAATTTGAAAGGTTCTTATACATAAAAATCTGAAGCAACGTCACAAATTTTCCTACAGAAAGAATTTCCTAAAAGAAGTAGGATCAAAATCATTTTAGTTAAAACTTGAGATGTTTCCTTTCAAAAATAAGTCAGCAGCTGAGGATATAGCTCAGTGGCATGAGCAAAGCCCTGAGTTCAATCCCAGGTACTACAAAAAACCAATGCATACACAAATGGAAAAAAAAACAAAACCCAACCAGTCTTCGGGCCCTCTTTTGTGCCACTAGATGCCAGATGCACTGTGGACAAGAACCAAGCAAGATTAGAAGATAAGAATCTGAGACAAGGGCTGGGGATGTGGCTCAAGCGGTAGCGCGATCGCCTGGCATGCGTGCGGCCCAGGTTCGATCCTCAGCACCACATACCAACAAAGATGTTGTGTCCGCTGAAAACTAAAAAATAAATATTAAAAAAAATTCTCTCTCTCTCTCCTCTCTCACTCTCTCTTAAAAAAAAAAAAAAAGAATCTGAGACATGATCTATGTGGGTAGTTACTAATATTCTTAGGTGACCTATCCTTCTGAGATTATAAGAGCTATGTAATCTTCCCCCAAATGCACATTAACTGAGTCATGAGCAAAGACTTGTGGACCAGGGAGTCGGGAGCACTTTGACTCTCTAATCCCTTTCTCTGAATCAGAGTGAAAAGAACCCCTAGGTTAGCCTAAGCACATGTTTCAAAGATAAGATATGAAACCTGACATCCAGATGGACATGAACACAGTCCACGGGAGCACAAGGCTAGAGAAGCCCACACTAAACCCCTTTTTTACCAAAAAAGAGAACGATGTCATGGCAGACAATGACAAAAACAGAAGGACCTTCTGCTTGGCCAATTCCTAAGGTTTCAAATAATCTGTAGACACATCCAACACCCCCTCTTAAGCAATTACCATTTTTCTCCACTCTGGTTAAGGGTTTCACTCCTGAGAAGACATCAGCAAGTTCGGTCATCCGCTCTGAGCCCTCTTTCTTATAGTACTCCCATTTGGCTTGTTTTTCCGAAAGCATTTGCTTGAACATCTGTTGACGAGACAGAGAAGATTCATTTCCTTAAGAGAAAATCCAGATCAGGCAGTTTACAAAGCGACCTGATTCATTATAAAAAAGGTACACCCCAAAGTAACATGGATCTTGATGCCTCTTCTCAAGCATTAGTATGCTATAGAAATTGAGGGTTGAAGTTAGGCTACCTCTAAGGCTGTGATCCTCAGACCAACTGCACATGAGCACAACTTGGAGGGCTTGAACGTTTTCAAATTCCTGGCTTAAGCCCTGAAGATTAAACTCAGGTTTTGGGTAGGCCCAAGAATAATCAACATTTTAATGTGAAATTATATCTGTGGTCTAGACAACAGTTGCTGTCATTCCAATGTAATTAGGGAAAACGAGTATTAAAACTTGCTGGATGATGAAGTAATGAACTAAATTACCTACAGAGGTTCTTTCTTATTATATTAAGCAAAAATTCTGTTTATTAATTCATTTCTGCCTAAAACTTAAAACCTGTGAAGACTTAGGAAGAGGAGAAAATGGTGTAACTCAGGACTCTGCCCTGGAAGAAACTTAAAAAGATGACTTATTTTTCATTAAATGATATGCTGTCTCAGAGAGAGGTACAGGATTTCTTTCATTGGGCTCTTCTTACAAGGTAAATATGCATAAATGCTCATTTTCCTCTTAATACATTCTTCATTCCTAAGCATTATAATCAAATTGAATAGATGAACAATGGAGGGAGAGTCCATCTTCAGAAGAGATAATCCAGGCTGGATGGGATGTTGTGGGGTCTGTGGAGGAGGAATCTTAATGACCCAGCAAGTTGAGTTGTCAGATGAAAACAAAGAGCCTACTCTATCTTCCTGGGTACTGGGCTCAATCAATGCCATTTCACAGCAGTACAGCAGCAACCCAAGGTCACCAGAGGTCTTCATGACAGAACAAATGGCCTCAGGCCCTTCAAACACTTACTGAACTCACAGGTTTCTTATCTTCTAAGATACAATTTGGGATGGCAGATGGTCCTTGAGTTGGGAAATACACTGTCATATAAAGATTAGAAGAAACACAGGTCCAATCACTGTGTTTACAGAAGAATCAGAGACAGACTCTACAACAGGTTGAGGTGGGATGTAGGAGAGAGGAAATAAAAGAATGAAGTTGAAATGTCACAAATTCAAAGACAGCATTTCCTTGCTCAATTTGTGTTGGGTCGTTTTATTTTTCTTATCTACCAGAGTTTTCTCTTCTTGAAGTCCTTTCACAATGAGCCCCTTAGGCTGTCTTCTCTACCAGAGCAGACAGAAGGAAGTAGCCCATATAATCAGCAGAATCCAGAGAACAAACTTAGGTTCAGAAGTCCAGGCTTGGTCAGACAGGTGGCCCACACTTGTCCTGATTTGCACAACTGCGCTGAACCAAACAGATGTGGTGGCTGGTGCCATGGTTGATGATCTTAACAGGCCCAAGGGCATTCTCCTTGAGGGAAACCTTGCTGCCTCTGAAAGGTCAGCGGTGCGTTTGACCATGCCTAGTTACTGCTCTGGTCCTTCCCTGGTTCCTTATCTAGGTTTATTCTATCTTTCTTCCATACTATACTAAGAGCACCTAGATAGAAAGGGCATGCCTTGTTCATTTTTAAATTCTTAGCAGCTCACTGGAAAAAGAAGGTATTCAAAAATTATTTGCTTTTAGAAATGAAACACTGAAATTATTAAGTATATCAAAAAGGGATAGCATTTTTCTGATCTTATAAAATTATATGCAGATAAAAATCACTGGAAACATTAAGCACATGCTAAATGTTAATAATCAGCATCTACTTCTTCAGAACGATTTAGTAGGGGAATATAGCATTCTTCCATGCCTAGAAGACAAAGAAGCATCTACTGTACCACTGACCAGACCAAGGCAAGGTGAGGACTAGTTTTGAAGCCCACCTGATTCAAACCCCCAGGTTAGTGTTTTAGAACCTGGGCACTTCCAGATATCCTCCACTTTTATTATGCCCATACAGATTTCTTTAGGGGTAAGACTAACTATAGAATTTCCCTTAGCAACCTCAAAAAATTCCTTAAAGTTCTTATAAGTTCCTTGTTAAATGTAAATTCCCCACCTTTTCCAATAGGTCCTTGTGGCTCTTATAATAAAGACAAATCCCACCAGGTCCCACACGGGCTAGCTCCTGCCCACCTCTCAGCCTCCTTTTGCATCACTTGTCTGTTATTCTCTCTCCTGCAGTGCAGTGGCCTTTCAGGCTTGAAAGGGCCATGCTCTCCCCTAGCCAACAGGACTCAGACACAGAGATACACTGCTGAGCTACAGGGATATGTTCTCAGATGTGCCTAGTGATGCCATTTCCTGACTGTGTGAACATCACAGGATGCACTGGCAAAAACTTTGATGGCTGCAAAGTCTCGAGGTGATAAAATCTTATGGAACCACCATGGTATATGTGGCCCACTGGTGACAGAAATGATGTTATGTTGTGCACGGCTCTCTACTTTTCTGTCCCTAAAATGTTCTCCAACACGTTCCCTACTTATTTAGCTAACTCCGACAGATCTTTCTCTAGGGTTCTTCAGAAGCTCTTTTCTGTTCTCAGGGAGTCTCACAGGCCGGGATCCTTTGTTTTAGGTACTCAGAGAATTGTGTTCCTTTCCTTCAGAGCCCAAATCTCACTTTGTATATATATTTTCATGAGTGTGATTTCTCTGATTAGTGTCTGAATTCTTCATTAGACTGTAATGTCCACAATCCTGTGCATTTTTCACAACTCAACAACAGTAGGCTGTAGCTTGAATCAGTGACACAATAATTAAACCCTAATCTTTTCTTAAAGATATTTTTAAACATAAAACACCTAAGACTGTGGTGATTATTCATTCAATATTTTTACCTCTTTGAGTATAAACTCAAATTGTGCAGTATCCAATAGCAACTGGAAGAGGATCTTGGGATTGTACCTAGAGTCTGTTAGAATCTGGTCCTTGATTTGACGAAGGCGTTTGTTGTTTGGGTCACAGGCTAGAAATGGGAAAAAAAGAGGTATCTACTTATTAAATATGTAGAAAATACCTATGAAATAAAATAAATTCTTACGTACTTTCCTTCATTTTAAGCATTTAAAAAGCATTAAGGACAATGCTTAATGATTGAAATAGATTGCTATAGAGTATAAATAAACAGTTAAGTAACAGTTGAATCTGACAGAGAATGCCACTCCCTCAATAAAGAAAAGCAAGTTATAAAACAATTTCCAAAGTTAATAAGAATTCTGGGGTTGGCTTATATTAACTACTTAATATGAATGGGCAGAGCCTTCTGGTACCACTTTATAGGAAGGTGGATTCCTTAAGTCCTATCTGTTTAGAGATGATTTTGGTTTAGGCACCAATATACATGCCATTCAGTTGTGAACAGATAGGCCCAAAACTTGCATGTTTGCAAGGCAGGCTCTTGGCTGGCAGCTGAAAACTTGGATTTTGGCAAGAGTTCTCACCACTTCATGTACTGGTAAGAATGGCTCACTAGACCTTAATTGTTTGCACAATGTGATGCACGCTGAACATCTGCTTTCCTTCTGGAAGCCTGTGCCGGGCAGAGGCTACCTCCATGTTCAGCTCCCAGTAAACAACCTAGGAAGCCGAGTCTCACGTTGCCTGGCTGGCAACATCTCCCACTTGTTGTCAGAATTGTTGCTGGGGAATTCAGCAGGTCCTCAGCGGCTTCACTGGGAGACGACCCTTGGAAGCTTTTGCCTGGGTTCTCCTTGCCTTTACCCCATGTGCATTTTTCCTTTGCCATTTTGCTTTCAGTCCTGTTGCAAGGATTAAATGGAGCTGATAGCACTACCATATGCTGAGTCCTCTTAATGAATCACTGAGCCTGGGGGTGGGCTTGGGGACTATCTGACAAAAGACAGAAGCAGGATTACCCACACGACATGGCACATGGCATCTCCAAACAGGAAGAACACACCTTGGCCATCCTGCTTCTTATAAAAGGCCAGAGGGCGCAACAGACACTTGATCCTTTCTGGACTATCTACTACCTAGCACACAGACCCTAAGGCAACTAGGCCAAGGTCATAACATCAGGCAGGTATCTGACCCATGGAAAAAACAGCAGATGTTCCAATTCACAGTCAGCCTATCAGCTGTCAAAAACCAGTTAAAGAAAATAAACAAGTCAAAAGAAAAGAAAAGAATAAAAGTGCCGATTTTGCTGAGATCATTTTATAGGGGCGACTAGTTAAGAAAGAAAAAAAAAGTAAGACAAAGCAAAGATACTCATTAACTAAAGCTATCTAGACTGCAAATAAAGTCAAAATAAAAACTTGACGATAACAGGCATTGCCAAAAAGTTCACAATTGAATAGGGCACAAGATTCATGTCAGTTGCTCTAGAATTTCCCATGCATGCTCCTGCTTGCTTAGCCCCCCCAACCCCAACCCAACCATTAGCCCAAGATGTCTGGCGGGTAGAGCAGGACCATGTTGTGGTCATGCCATGGGGAGTTTCTGGTGTCTCAGTTATGGTGAAGTCTATGGATGCCCATTTTATATATTGATTTCTAAGTTACTCCATCAGGATGAGTATTTGTGAGAAATTACAGAGTTCTGATTTCTCATGCATTCTTCAGAACTCCCTGGGAAGAAAGGTACTGGAGCTGGTGAACCCTAATTATACAAAAAACAACTGTTCAGCTTCATATTTGCCTAACTAAAAGACAAAACCAAAAGAATTTTGGATTTCTACTTTTCTTTATTAAAATGCAGGATTTCTATTTCTCTTAATTCTAAAGAAGAAACCTTTTATAAGTACCGCGCGCTAACCGATTGCGCAACTGGGTCAACTGGAAATCAATATGGGCAAAATATATGTTGATCTCTGTAAACACTTTACACAAAAATTAATTCCAGTTGGATCTAGATCTAAATGTGAAAGGTAAAAAAACCAAAGCATATAAATGATAATAGGAGCATGCCTTCATGATCTTGGGTTTAGGCAAAGATTTTGTATACAGGGTATAAAAACAGAAAATGTAAAATGTCAATAAATTGACCTATATTAAGATTAAAAAAAAAAAGAAGAAACCTTCTGATAATGATTTACTTTCATTTTTGGATAGGGGATAGAAGTATCCAGGTGATAAGCAAATATACTGTATATCTCCATGTGCATTAACATTTAGTTCCTTTGTATAAACCAGGGCTGGTTTCAGTCTTTCCATGGCTGGATCATCTCTTTCCCATCTGACCCTCAACAAATTAGGCCCAGGGAACTGTGGAAACTGGTCCTAGAATTACGGTGACCTCAGGGTCAGGATTCTTTAGCTGGTCTACTTTGCTTATCCAATGTTGCTCACAGGGTGTTCCTCGCCAGCTGCAAGGCACTGTGGGAGCAGCCCAAGTCTGGGGGAAATGCCTCCAGAGAGCTAACAGGGGACAACAGGCGAACCCGCCTGCCTTCTGTACACTCTGACAGAAATAACATAGAAGCTAAATAAGCAGTTACTTCCCCCATATCTGACTCAGCCAGATAGGCAAATCATTTGTTTCTGGTAAATCACATCCTTGTGCAATCAAGTCAGACGACTGCCAGGTTCAAAAGTGGAAAAGAGATGTGGCTGAAGATAAAAGCCCGACCCCTGGCAGGCTGGTTTGCCCCTGGCATGACTGCAAATCCAAGAGGCAACTGTTTTCCAGAACATAGGCGTGACTGTCCTACAGTCACACAGAAGATGAAAATGAGGCTGAGTCACTGGAAAACTACAGCTGGTTTTATGGTAGGTAAAGTGAGGCTTGAGTTGTTTATATGCTTGTAAATGGTAGACTTCTGGTGGAGGGGAGAGTAAGCTGAGTCACTCTAGTAAAATCCTGAATGTAAATGAGTCTTTATGTAAATGAGAAACCCAGCTAATTAAAAATGGATCAATTAGATGATTAAGATCTTCAGCCAGAGGATTCACACTGTGGGTAAACTGTAACTGGATCTAGGCCAATATCGAAAATGATGCAAAAACCTGGAAAGCAGTTGTGAGGAAGGTTTATGAAGCTGGAGAGAAGGCTGCAGAGAAATCCAGTGACTTTCAGAGATGAAGGATGAGGAAGTTCAACTGCTGTTTCCACTGCTGACCACTCCCAGGAAGTGGAACAGATGGGAAACACACTGTGAAGAGCTTCTTGACTGGAAGGTAGTGAGGCTGGGGCTACCATGCTACTAAGGGAGGCTGAAGAATCTGGTGTGGACAGTTTTTTTGCGACACAGTCTCATCTGAAAAAAACAATGAACTGTTGAAAGTAGTAGCTGTGTCAGGGAAGGCCCTCCAGAAAAGATGGTTGAATGAAAAACAAAAAGCAGGGGGCTTTCGAGGGCTGCTGAATGACACAGCTCTTCCGGGCTGGAGTATGCAGACCTGGACGAGTGAATTCATTTATGTTGAAGAAGCATTTTCTAAGCATAAAGAACTGTGCCACCTCTGAACAAGCTCAGAGGTGTCAGTCAACTTACTTATCTTTCTACCATTAAAGCAGAGGTTTTTAAAGTCAGGGCTCATGGTCTGTTGGGGGCACTCCACAAATCTGTGAAATTCCTGAACTTGATAACCAAACTCTGTGTGGATAGAGGGTCTCATAGGGGACAATGGCCCAGAAAAGGCTGAGTCCCGTTTTACCTTATATAACCACTGTGGTTTAGCCAGGTCCTCAGCTATTTTTCTGTCCTTCCAAAATCATACCATTGATTCCACCATTTCTGCAATCTAGAATTTCTTCTGCCTTTTATTTCAAAATCTTATCAAAGGTTGGCCAGCTCCTGCCTCCTGGACAGAGCCTTTCCTGACCTCCTCTGCTCTCTTACCCCTGCAGTTTCTCTCTCCCTACTCTGGACTCAAGCCATACCCACTGTCTCACACACTGGCTCTTATTTACTGCCGGGGACCTTGTGTCACTTTCCTTTGGCTGCTCTAACAAATTACCATGAATTTTGTAGATTAAAATAACACAAATGTATTCTTTTACATTTCAGAGTTGAGAAATCTGAAACAGGGCCCACTGGGCTAAAATCAAGACATCAGTAGGGCTAGGCTCCTCTGGAAGAACTGGAGAAAACCAATCTTCTTGTAGTTTTCAGCCTCTAAAGACTTCCTGCAACCCCTGGCTTGTGGTCTCTTCATCTTTAAAGCCAGTGATGGCTGGTCAAGTCTTTTTCCAGGGACCACCTCTCTGTTTCTGACTCTTCTGCCTCCCTCTTTTTTATTTATGGACTCTTGTGATTACACAGGTCCATTGGGATGATTTCCTTATTTTTAGGTCAGCCGATCAGCAACCTCAATTCCCTTTGCCATGTGTTATAACACAGCTACAAATTTGAGGGATTAGGACACGGACATTGCATTGTGGGGTGCCTGGGAGGCCTTATTCTGCTTACCACAGATCTGCAGTTACCAATCTTTATATGTCTGTATCTGTTCTACACATTAGGACCACTGAGAAGCTCCTTCAACGTGGGAGCTAAATGTCACCATATTCCCCAGCATCCACTAGGGTGTTTACCTGATGGGAGAGCTTTTCAGGTGGGCTACAGTCTTATCCAAGTTGACACAAAAATAACTAGCTTAAAAAGTAACTTGGCTCTCGTTCAAGGGCACTCCTCCCCGCTAAACAACTTTGCATCCTAAAGTAGATCTTAATTCTGAAAACTTTCATGTGGAGCAATATTAATGGCCACCCCTCTGTGCATTACCTGAGTCTGCTGTATGCAGCATCAACCATCGGATGGCAACATTGCAGTCTCTCAGACAGTTTAGAAGCCTTGGGATATTGTCCAGAACCATCTCTTCTCTTAAATAACCTTCTTTCAGAAACTGCTGTACTTGAGCATGTACTCTTTCACTGACAGTAGCATATCTACTTGCCTATGGGGGGCAGAAACAACTCAAATTACATTTTAGAAAGTTATTTATCTTAAAAATGAATCACATTCAATTAGATCATTAAAAAATAATATCCAGCCTTCCTACCTCCCTCTCTTTCTGATAATAACATTTCTATGTGAAATGAATAATATATTGATTGTATTTATAAGGCTCAAGGGCAACTGGTTTATTGGGCATTTTTGAAAAGAACACTGGGTGACTTTGGATTTAGCCTCTGCATACTCCATTTCAAATATCAAATGGAGAACTGGACCAGGTGGCTTCTCTGATTCCTTCTATTCTCAACTTGAATGGAAAAGAAGAATAAAGACAAAAGATAAATTGCCTGTCCTATTATTGTTGAGAAAAGAGGCAGCAAACAGCAGATACAGCCAAAAGATGAGACTTCTATAGGCATATGAACCTTAGTAAGAAAACACAACTCAGTGTACCGAAATTGAATTTTCAAATAAATAAGGCTTTTAGAAATTTGGTCATTTTGTTTCACTAAATCAAGAAACAAATGTTAAACATTATTAAACTAGCCAAGTTAGTTTAAAACTATCAAGAAACTTCTTAAAATAATACCAGTGGAAAAAATGCAATTTTGGAAAGGAGCTTTAGTCATGAAAAATTAAAGCTCTGATGTCAGGAAGTATGGAAATGCCACTTTCTCTGATAGATTTCTAGGATATATGCCAACTGAAATCATTTTGTACATTACTTATGGAATTCAATTTATTTGAATAAAACATGACAAAGTTTTTAGAATATTATTTTTTATACACTGGAAACTCAATAACATAGACAGCCTGGTTGGAATATAGCCATCCAGAAATATCAAATATACACCTTAATATTATTTTCATCTCTGCATTGACTCAAATATTTCCTTCTGCCTAGTGCTGTTATCAAAGAGTCAGGATATAGCCATTAAACTTAAAAATGAAAGTCTTCAGTCTTATTGCTTAAATAAGCTAATTAGTACCTCAGAAATGATGACCACTGTAAAGTATAGTGACAGAGTATTATCTACATTCAATTACCATCTTTGGCATTGACCCTACTAATAAAAAAACTTTAATCCCAGCCACTGGTGAAAATAGCTATGTCTACAGGACCTGATCTTTAAGCAAGAATAAGCAGTCAGTTGGAGCCTTATATTTCAGTGATTCATCTTAGGGTATTCAACCTTTCTGAGGACCCAAGTCTACAATTTACTCTACCACATAAGTTAAAAACATATAATTATTTTATCTTATTCTAAAATGCAAATTTTATTTTCCATTAGTCATGTACTAAAATGTCTATGTGGACATTTTTAAAATGCCCTGGGAAATCTACTTAGCTCATTTCCTCCTTCATAAGCCAGCTTAGCAGTTCCGAGGAGATTCTCCCTAATTAGCCAAAACCTACCTGTTCTTTGACGTTTGAAAGGTCCAGGGTATTGTTTAAAGCTGTTTTTGCAGCTTTGTAAGGTTCCCAAGCATCTCCTAGGTTAACTGTGATTCCCATGTAAATACTAATTACCTGAAAGAGGAGATATTCATTCAGTATTTGTTCAATACCTGTTCAATTCCAGGCAAGGGGTTGGGAAAATATGAAGTTGCATAAAACATAGTTTTCTCTTTCTAGTTTGAATTCACATCAATGAAAACCTAAGATTTTCCATATATACAAGTAAGGAAACTTCCTTATGAGCACTTTGGAACAAGAGTGACAAGGTTGCTACACATGAAAAAATAACAACTGTTGAGAGCCACAGCCGAAGGGGTCCCAGCAAACTTCCAACTGCCAGCTGATGATTGGCTCACAGCGGCCCAGCAAACTTCCAGCTGCTAGCTGATTGGCTCCTCTGTGGTGATGCTCTTTGGGCTGTTTCCCCGCCCTTTCAGACCACAGAGCTGCTCATTGGGGGACTCTTTTGGCTCCGCCCATGCGACTCAGCCAATCGGCCTCAAGAGCAGGAGGAGGGGGGGGGTTGAGAGGCTTGTGGGCTTGGTGGTGGCATTTGGGCTCTGAGGGAATTCCTGAAGAGCTCATGTGGTACAGCCTGTGTATTCTAAAAATAAAGTTCACTTCTGCTTGATAAGTGGCTCCTGAATTGTGCCCAGCCAGACTGTGGCAAACAACAAAAAAGTTTCTGCTCAAACTGCTGTGTGTTAGATTCCTACAGGGAAAAGAAAAAGGGGTGCACTAGGGAGGGGACAGAAAACAATGACTTTGACTATAGCAGGTTTCCCAAACATTTCTATCCCTTATGCTCATGAAAATTGTTGAGGATTCCTAGAAGTTTTTAAAAAAAAATCCTATGGATATTTATCATATTCAAACTGAGAAATTTAAAAGCATTTAGCAATTATTTTAAAATAATAACAAATTTTAAAATAATAATGAATCCTGGGGGTTGTCTTTTTTTCTGTGTGTATGGGGGGGCAGTTGATTGGTGGTGAGATTTGACCACCAACTCTATTTCTTTAATATTGGTCTATTCAAAAAAAAAATTGGTCTATTCATATTTCCTTTCCTTCTTGAGTCAAATTCAAATAATCAATTATCCATTTATTCTACATTTCAAATGTATTAATAAAATTGTTCACAGATTTTCTTAAAATTAAAAAAAATCTTAAAAAAAAATCTTTATCTTACCTTAGGTTTTCTTTTCCAAACTTAACATTTAACATTGCATTTTTGCACTCTCATCAGTTTTGGTAAATATCTATTTTATAGCTCTTCAAAAAACTAGCTTTGATTGTGATGGTTTCCTCCTTTCCTTTTTCTCTAACTCAAAAAATGTCTGCTCACATATTTATTGACTATCTTTTATTTGACTTTTTCTAACACCTTGAACTTAATGTTTGACCCATTTATTTGTACTCTTTCTTGGTTTTGGTAATGTACATAGGGTTACACATTTCTATTAAAAGCAGCTTTAACCACCGAGCACTTTGTTTCATAGCACCTTGATACTGGGCAATGCTAAATATTTTTTATGTTTCTCTTTTAACACAAGAATTATTTGGGTGTGTACTTTCCTCCAAACATTTAAAAATCTCTTTTTAATGCTGGTTTCTAATTTAGTCAAACCATAGGAAAAGAATACAGGCGATCAAAAACCTTTTTCGTTTTTCACTTTGTTGACTTTCCTCATGATATACATCCAATTTTCACATATGTGTCCTTTTCAATATATATAGAACATTCAGTACATAGTTTTGGGAAAACAGAATTATATAATAAGAGATGTACTGAAATTTTCCACCATAATTATGATTTTGTCCATTTTTCCTTATGAATCCATGAGTTTTTGCTTTATATATTTTGAGTATGTTATTGACTGTATATAAATTCATGACTGTTAATTCACCTCAATGGATCATTCCTTTTAATATTATAAATGATACTTTAAAAATCTGTGTTCATATTTTTCTTTAACATTTTCTTTTGTATGATATTTTCTCATTAATTTTTTTATTGGTTGATATTTGCCTGGAATATCTTTTTTTAACCCTGGATGTCAGGTGTTTGTGGCAGAGTGTTTTTTTAGGTGTACATATAACAGGTAAAAAGTCCATATAACTGGACTTTGACCTTCCTTAATACTAAATATGCTTATAATTATAGTATGATCAAAACTTCTTTGTTAAGCTTTAGGAACATGAAGCAATACTACCAGTTTTTCTCTTGGTTATTCAATTCTGAGCTCGTAAGTATAATTCATAGGTGGATAGGAACCATCAACTCCTAATTATAGGTTCTTTTTATATTGTCAGGAAATTAAAGGTTTCTAATGACAGATAGTATGATTCAGTAATAAGAAGTGAAATAAATCTGCTACCTGAGAATATAATTCAACTCATTGCACTTTGATAAAACCTCTTTGTGAAGGAAAAACATTTTGTATTAATTAGGTATGTTAAGTCAGTTTCATTCCTATAAGAGTTAATATTGTTCAGTGACATGTTTATGCAGTAATGTAAATATTATAATATCTTAATAATTCTACTATAGTCATCTTGTAAATAAAACTTATTATAAAAGTGAAATTCTTATTCAAAAAACAACCAATTAGATACTAATTTTACTAGCTTAGATCCATAAAATAGAAAAAAATTTTTAAAATCCTCATATAACTTAGTTGCACTCTCGGTAGCTACAGCAAGACACATTTTTAACACATCATTTTGCCTTGAGAGGATCCATTTAAAGAAAATACTAATGGGTTTGTTAGGAAATTTTACTGATTGATTTAGTCCTTTATGGTATGATTTATTACATTTTCAACATTCTTAAAGTAGTTTTGCCTAAGTGACTTTATGTCCCATTATTTACAACATATTGACCTCTGAGTTCAAGGCCAAAAGACTAGAAAGTTGGTTCTGCAACAAATTTGCCACATACAGAGAGAGAGAAAGAAAATCAGTAATACTTGCCCAATTATCTGGAAAGTATTTATCCACGATCTCTCTCATTTTTGCTTGATGGGTGTGAAGAATGGAAGGGTCAAAGTAGAGAATCACATACAGCATGGCGGCTTGATTTGCCAGTGCAGTGCTGCGATGTTCTGGCAAGGGATATGCTGAGACCTGTAATGCAAGCCCCAGAGGGAAGTGTTGGTGACAGCTGAAGGTACTCATGCTTGAACTCAATTATCTGTTCTGGGAATCAACAGTGTTCCAAAAGCCCATCTTTCAAGATCATGGACACACTGGAAGCAATTCTCAGGTTGTATCCAGAGTCTTCCTTCTTATCTAAAACCCCATAATACTCTGTTCCTTTCAACCCTTGACTCTGCTACCATTCTATGTAATTTCCTACAAAAAAAAAAAAAAAAAAAAGTCCTAACCTGGCACTGCCTACAAGCTGTCCATGTCTGTGTCTTTTCCAGCAGAGCCAATCCTTAAAACTGACAGACTCTGTTGCTATTTTATTAGGACCTGATCTGCAATTCACTGAAACTTGGCCTCTACCATTAATCATGCCAATGGAATTTTCTAATCCAATTCAATAGCTGCCTTTTAGAATGCTCACTTTAACTCTTGAAGGGTGGAATTCTCTCCTTTGGTTTTCCATTTTTTTAGATACCACCCCATTTCAAGGTGATTCGCTCAGCCCCTTTTTTCAGCCTTTTAAAAGCTGAAGTTCCCCAGAGACCCTCCCCTCAAGTATTAGGAAGCTTTGGCTGCAGAGAGCACCTATCATTTTGAGTGCACAAGCAGAAAGGGGACACTTTATCATAGACACAGCCATGCTGTATGGATCCTGTGGGCAGGAATGTGGCCAGGCCACAGGAAGAGAATTTACAATGTCTTCACTCTTTTTCTCCTTGATGTGTCTGCTCAACTTTCTCCTCTCCAGACTGTTCTTCACATACTTGGCTGGATGAGGCTGCCCTCAAACTCCAAACTTTGTACAGTCCTTATTTTTAGTGAAATATTTAAATCCTCAGGCAGAGACTTTTTCAGGCCCAATTTCAAATTACCAGGAGACAGAGAATTGGCTCCATGAGCCATGAGCAGAGATGGGGGACATACACGACAGAGATGGGTAATACAGAGCACAGCCCTGTGTTAATGAGCGTCACAGGGAAGGAGAAAATTGAAACATGTTTCTATAAGACTCAGACAAAATGAACCAAGAAGGAGGCAGAGGTATAACGAGTGACTGATGTACAGAGGCAAACAGCACAGGCTTCAGGTTCAATTCACACAGATCTGAAAGCAAATGTGCCTGTTCTCTAGTCACGTGACTTTGTGAACTATGATTTAAGCTCTCCAAGGCTTACTTTTTTCAGGAGGCACATGGGGATGATGAATCATCTACTTTGTAGGACCGTGAAAAATAATGAAAATGTATGTGAAAAAACTTCCTATGAACTGGTTTAGATTGACTTCTTAGTGAATATCCTTAAATATGAGGAAGGCCTGGCATCTGTGGGCATCCTCTAATTTTAAGTTTTCTGGAGAAGAAAATAATCTTATTTAGACTTAACATATTGATACAAAAACTAACAGGCTACCTAAAGGACCCTTGAAAGCAGGTTTGTATAGGTGATATCCAGTCATCCTAGGTCCAGCTCTACTCCCTTCCAGTGGTAAAAATATATAATTCATTGTTCTTCAGAACAATGGAGACAAATAGTAACTTTCTTTGGTATTCATTTAAGTAATGAGTCATATAGCCCCTGGCAAGGACAGCTGAGAGAACTTTCAAACCACAGGATCTTTCCAGCCCTGCTCAGGCTACAAACTTTGCCTGGACTCCCTTCACCCTCCTCTAAGACACCTGCTGTAATCTTGCTGTCACTGCTCCATGCACCAGTGGCACCTTGTGCTTCCCCTAAGACAATACTCAACTTGCTTTACTGTAATTCCTTCCTTGGGTACCTTTCCCGCTAAGTTACTTGCTTGTTATGGGCAGGGCCCATGGCCTGCCTTCTTCAGGGACACATCCCGAGCACCCAGAACATGAATGGGCATGAACCACGTAAAATTTCTTGAATGAGTGACTGAAAGAATAAACCTTCTTTCCAATTGCTCAGATCCCATCTTCTCCCTGAAATTTCTGCTTCTCCCAGAATTAACATCCTTCCTTCCTCTATCCTGCAGCCTAGCTTAAAAGGTGTTAAAAAATCATTTCTAGATGCTGTTTTACTCTTTTTGAAAAGAAGGAAGGAAAGGATTAACTGAGGAAGAAAGTGAATTCAGTCTTTTTAAACTATTAAGGTCCTACTAGACTTAATTCCCACCTGATTGTAAATATCGTCTGATCTCAGCCGGCCAATGACCATGCTGATGAAGGCTTCATTGATAGGCACTCTCTGGAAATAGCTCTCAGGATAGCTGGGTGGCCTTTTGGCTCCTGGTTGGCTGGAATAACCTGTACTTCGCAGCAGCTTACAAATATCATCCATATTTGAATCAGCAGAAGATCGGGCCGCACTGTCACATTCACAATGGGAAATAAAACCACACACGTTAGAAACTCGCATGTCCCCAAGTCTGTAAGTATTAGTCCTAAGTAAAGTCAACAATTTCTTTCCTAAAATCCTTGAGGCTGGATTTATTTCAGAATATAGTATTTTTCAAATATATGAAAATTACATGATTTGATCATATGTCATACAACACTGCAGCAGGATTCAAGTTGACATACCACAATTGACACACGTTTAATAGTTCTGGAGTAAAATTTATAAAATTCACAAAATCAAGATTAGTGAAACTGCCTCATCTCTGTTCTGAGTAGGTTCTGACTCTAAACAATTTCAGGTCAGATCAGCTTTGGCTGCTAAATGTGTGACTGTGTGTCTGTACATTCATATATGCAGATTTCTTCAGGGCTCTTTGATTTTCAGAATTATGGATGAAGAACATAAAACCAAACAAACATTATACAAATTAAAAACATTTTTTAATTATTTCAATTTAAAGTGGTATATATTTTAACTGGCTTTTCTTGGCATGCTGATCTGATAAGGATTAATAAAAATACCTGAAATTTTCAGGGTAGAAGAGTGAATTCTGAAGGAAGTGAGGTAGACTCAAAGAATCTTGGACTTGAGCTGACCTGCTCTTTGATGGAAGTACCTCCTTCACAACACTGACCTGCAATCGCTCAAGGTGTCTTCAAAAATGGGCACTCATGTTCTAATGAATTAGCTGTGCTGCCTAAAGGGACAATGTCTGTTTTCAAAGCTGGGCTTGTTAAACAGGCATTTTTTTCTTCTCCTTTACATTACAAATTGCTTTCACTTTTCTAGGTACTTTCAGAAATGTAGGCAAGGTTATTCAAGTTTCATTTTTAAAAACATGGATGTTACAACAGCTTATGATCAAACCAATGTGAATGAATACACACACTGGTAGATACTTCCTTCAGATACCAAAAAAGCTGAAAAGAGGCAGGTGAGGTGAGAAGCCTCAGACGAATTTATAGCTAAGGAGACAATGTTACAGAAAATATAATGTCTTGGGGCTGGGATTGTGGCTCGGTGGTAGAGTCCTTGCCTAGCACAGGCGGGACCCGGGATCGATCTTCAGCACCACATAAAAATAAAAAAGGCATTGTGTTGTGTTCATCTACACCTAAAAAGTAAATATTTAAAAAAAAAAGAAAATATAATGTCTTGAATAATCTCTTTTCTGTTCTGTTTCTCTTGCTCTTTTTATTTTGTCCTAATTTGTAAGTTTGAAAATGTTAATTTTATTCCTCATTTATTTAGCCCAAGTTCTTAAATGATTTCTGGTTACTGACTGTTTCTTTCCTGAATCTATTTCCTGCATGGACCTTGTGTCTACTTTCTGACTTATTTATTGAACTGTACTCTGGATAATGAAAATAAAAAGTTGGTGAGGGGCCTTCTGTTTTCAAGACTCTACTTCCTGAAGACTCACAGTTCTGAACAGACACACACAACACAAGATCCTGGATGAGCACTGCATGTTGTTTTTGTGTCTATGTATATATGGGTGAGAATTCAGTTTCAACCTGATCTTGAATGATAACTTTTCAGTCATTGACTTGAAATTGACAACAGAAAATTCATTTGTTTATGTCTTCCGAGAAGGCATATTTGAAAGCTTAGCAAATACAGAAAAAACAGTCCGTAAGACTTCCATAGTTCTTTGAAACCTATCTTTGAGATAGACAATTCAGAATTCAGATTCCTTTTTTAAAAAGTTGAGTTACTATGATAGACATGATAATCTTTTTATCTCTAATAATCTATAGTACTATTTTTTATATATACAAGTTATTTGATGCATAATCATTTACTATGATGTAAAATGTTAAGTAACTGCTATATTCCTACATATGTTTTACATTCTATACCACATTGCCACTGTTCCCAGTAGTATTATGAGCACATACACCTCATTTCACCAGTAATGGGGTTTGGGGTGTGCAAGCTTAGCTCAGGGATACCTGTATCGATAGTAAGAAACTAGCATTCTCTCTCTGACTTCTCCTTCAATCTTTTGGTCGATGACCAGCAGCATAACTCCATATAAGTACAGGGCTTCACACTATGAAGAGAAAAGATAGTGGACAACTCGAAGGAGTATTCATTTGTAAGGAGCAAAGATGACAATGGTGAAAAAGACAGCTTTGATTTAATTGGCCCTTTATACTTCAAGGAAAATGTAAGTTTTCTGCAAAGGGTTCTCACCTTCCATGCAGAATGGGCTTTGAGAATTTACTCAAAACAAATTTTAATTCATAGTGATTATCTTTCCATTGGCTTATTTTTTTAGATTTTGCTTGGGATACCAAAGTGAAATCCCAGTATTCTGATACCTCTTCATCATAAAGTCATTCACATATTTAATAACATTTTTTAATTGGTTAGTATGTACTAGGTACCAGACTAGATGTCTGGGATGCAAAAGGTAAAGAAGATAGAATTCTTTCTAAGGAAGTTCATAACCTCCACATTATAATTGAATCCTTTATTCATTTATAATTTTATTCACTGTTTATGTTCTAAACTCATGTATGAACTTGCTAGCTAAAAGATAATTATCAGGTTATTGGCTTCTTTTTAAAGAATGACATTTTGTATGTGTTTGCGACTTATAGGGGAACTAAAAAGTTTCTGTTCTTGCATTTCTACTTTATGTGTTCAGAATTACTTACTAGAAGTTGTTTTCCATCTTCATTGAGAAGCACAGTTTCTAAGGTTTGCTGAATATAAACACCTTCATTGAGATCATCTAGATATCTAGAAAAGAAAACCCAGAGCAACTTATTCATGTACAATAGAAACTTTAACATCTTTGAAGAAGGAAAGATTTTTTAAAAATAAGGCAAGGAATCAGACATTCTGGCTTTAACTAGTTTGTGGCCCTTCATGCTCTTAAGAACCGTAGTGTCTTATGATCTGTAATTCAGTGATTTAGGGCCACAAGTTGGTATTTATAGTTGTAAATGTCACATAAAAGGAATATTGCTTAATCCTGATCATGAATTATAAGTATCTTAGGTGTACATAGGAACATTGAAAAGTTGTTTAAAGGTTAATGAATAATAAACTCTCAAGAATTATAGAGAGTCAGAAAGTGAACTTACAAAATAAGCAAGTTCACCCCTTTTCACTTCTATATAATATGCTAGAGTATGATGAAAAATCTAGAGGGCTGAAAGCTGTATGACTTGGTATAAACCAAGATTATGATACTCCCAAGAGCAGGATATTATAATAAAACCTGGGCCCTGTCAGGCCAGAGTGAGATGGAAGAGCTGACCAGAGCGTGAGAAAGCTCAGGGAGGAGACAAGGGGCTTGGTGTGTGGTTTTGGGGGATCTATAATAGTTTCAAGTCTTAGGAAGCCCAGTGTCCCGGGAACGAAAAGAATACATATGGCATAAATGAGTAAATTTTACAGTAACTCAGAAAAACGTACATATTCTACTGGGTCCCTTCTCCCTCTCACCTATTTATTAACAGAATGAGCTATTTACTGAAGTAATCAATACCTGTTTAAGTCTACAATATATTTATGTACACTTTGAAATGCTAAATAAAATCTGGTCACAATTTCTATGTTGTTTTCCCGAAATTCTTCATCTAAATCCTGGAGCTCCGGCTTAGCTTCCAATTTGCTTTCACATAACTCAGGACCCTAAGGAAAAAAAAAACCCAAAACACAGAGACATTTATGTGAAATACCAATGAAAGTGTCCTTGTTGGTAACAATCTCTAAATAGTATTTTAAAAATTTGTTCCTCTCTTCTTTTTTTTAATATTTAGTTTTTAGTTTTAGGTGGACATAATATCTTTATTTTATTTTTATGTGGTGCTGAGGATCGAATCCAGTGCCTCATATGCATGCTAGGTGAGTGCTCTAACACTGAGTCATAACCCCAGGCCTGTTCCTTTTTTCTTACCTACCAAAAATTTAAAGCAGAGCAAAAGAAAGTAATGAGGACAACAGAAGCCTAGATACAAATCCCTTTGAAAGAAATGAACTTGAATTGCAACCAAGATTAGCATGCTTTTAAGTGCGAGTATTTCACTTCAAAGTGAAATACATTATGCCAAAATTATCTTTTAAAATTTTATTATATTGCTTTCTACACAATGCCTGCATCTTATTTTCAAGTTGAAGATAATATTAACTTTGGTTCAAAAGTTGTCCTCTTTGACTCTTTCTCTATAGTTCCCCGACCTCTTAAGAATGGTTCCCAAAGAAAAGCATGCTTTTAGAGAAAAGACAGCAATACAGATGCAATAGAAAGAGAGAGCACCTTAAAATAGCTGAAATCGAATATAATATCTCCATATTTCTGTTGGTCAGCTCGGTCTTTTAACCTGAACACAGCAGGAATAAACTCGGACAGCCTCAGCAGCTCAGCGATAATGGCATTGCCACAGGAAACGATCCTCAGGATTGCTTGGCCACAGAGGTTGTTCTCAGCCAGGAAGTCCAGCATCATGAGGGTGACTAGCCAGCCCAAACCTGGACAGCAGGAAGAGTTAACTGGCTTCAGAGCTAGGGTCTGTAGAGCATCAGATGAAACCAGGTTTGCAGACTGACTGGCTGCTCCATTAAAGAACCTGTATCCAAAAAAGTAAAGTGAGCTAAATCTCTATTTTTTAAGGAAGCATGTGTGTAGACTTTTGAAACACATAATATTTTTCTTTCAAATTCCATAAAAATATAACAGATAATGAATTCTTGATATGGGGGGAAGGGCATTATCCTCTATCCTTCATGTTTGCTGTGTGGACTGATTTTGCTAAGTTAACACTCTAGGCCTCTTTCCCAGATCTTTATTTACTTCTCATGAGAAAAGATAGGATATAGTTCATCAACTCATCTCTGGGCAAGAAGGAGTCATGGACATTTGTGATTCCAATGTACCCTAACTGCATGAGTTATTGCCCATGGTTTGATATTTTAGCAAATAACTGCACTTACTATAAATAGAGCTCTGGACATCATTTTGAGGAATTTTCCCAATGGAATTATAAGATTGGGTATAAACGGGTCCAAGATTCCTTTTAAAATTACAAACGCCAGATTCTACAAAATCTTGTGATAATTGATAAATGCTACATCAAACTGGTCCAAAAGTTTCATATGATGCAGCACTTAGGCATCTGGCACTGCTAGCTGAATCAATTACTCATTTCTTTTGTATTCCAGTGCATGTCTCAGGCTGGTTAGATCATACTTGCATACTAAATACTGCAGTTATATCAACAGGCCATTCTTCTGAAAGTTCCTGAAGGCTAGGATCAATTTCCTCTACCCAACTGCTCCATGCTAAGTACTTCTTTGCCTGGGTGGAGATGAAGATGTTTAAGCACATCACCTTCTAGTACAGAGGTTCTCAAGACCAGCTGTATAACAGAATCATCTAGACCTTAGAGTCTCTGCCAATTAGGTTATAGGCTGCCCTAAGCATCTGTTTTTTAAAGAAGCTCCTCAGATGATTGTGATGTGAAGTCAGTATCATAAAAGGAATGGAGGGTGGCTGGAACTTGTGCAAAACTGAAGCAAATAAATAGGAAGTGAACAATATTTATCTAAGCATGGCAAGTGCATAAATCACCATAGAAAGGTTTTAAGAAGTGATTTTTGCTCCTTCTAGCAGCTTGAAATAGAGTTGGGAAGACAAACCCAGAGGGGGGAAAATCAGAGCTACAGTGCATAGCCAAGGTAAAGAACAGATAGTCTCCTGTCAGTACAGGGCTTTACTAGTAGTCTTCTGTTGGGAAAGGTATTCTGCTTGCATTGTGTGATCTAGTAAAGTGGCATCTCCTAGGAATGCAAGTGCAAGAAGGAAATCCAGAAGCTAAAAGACATATTTCAGCAGATAACAGTTAAAAACTTTTGTATGACAAATGCTTTGGAAGACAGAGGTGAAATGCAGAGGGCAGACAGGATTGATTTCTGAAACATGCAAAGGGATCTCACAAGCTGATAAGGCAGAGCTAATAGCACAACAGTAAAATGGAGAGGAGTACAAAGGGGTAATTCACGAGGAGTAATCCACATGACAACTCATGAAAAACTCTTTAATTTACCAGGAGTGAAGGAACCATGAATTAAAGCAAGTGCCCCTAAATAATTTTACTTATATTAGATTGGCACTGGTTAAAAGAATAGTAATATTTCTCTAGGTAGGGATTAGAGATGTACGTTATTGATGAAATGTGAATTGTTAGTCTTTTTGTGAAATGAACCAGCAACATTTACTGAAGTTAAAGATGCACATTCTTCTAATCTAGTGATCTCGTGCTTAGAATTCTACCCTCTGGAAATAAAATACCATCACTTAAGGATATAGGTCCAAAGATGCTTCTTGAAGCATCACCAGCATTTGGAGACAAAGTAAATAACCACTATAAGAAAATGTAATTAAAGCAGCCCTTAGCAAGAAGGAATTAGAGGTCTATTAGTTGACATGGAGGATTTCTGAGAGCTGTTTTATTGAATGGAAAAAGTAAGTTGCAGAAACAGTAAAAAGATGTTCCCACTTTATAAAACAAGTAAGATTTAAAAGCCCTATATCTGCCATTACAAACAGAGAAAACATACAAGAAAGAGTTGATGGAGGGGAAGCAGGGAAAGAAGGACAGGAGTAGCCAATTAAAAATAAAAATAAATAAAAAAGACTTCACTGGGAGGGGTGGGGGGCAACAATCATCAAACAGAAAGCCATTATGAACACATCAAAATCTGAGCATCTCATGGCTGCCCAGGTTGTATTTTCTAAGCATCTTCTGTATCACAGAGACAAGTCAACAAAACTGCTGATATCTCTTTTCTTAGTGTCCTCCCATAACCAATGTATAGAGAGCAGGGGTGAAAGAGATGACGGAGGGATGGCCCAGGGACAACAAGAGAACAAAGTGAGAAGGACAAAAGCTAAATAATTCCTTGCACTCTAAGAGGTTTCAGAAAATTCTGGGAGTAGGTAATTTTATCAGTCTATTTCTTATTCTCTTCTACCAGATGCAGGCACCCTCCTTATGCAGGCTTGTGTGCTTGGCCCTTCAAGGTCATTTTTCTTAGTGCCGAGGATTAGAAAAGCAACCTGATCACGTTACTGTGGTAATTAGTTTTCTAGATATGGCTACCAACAAGTCCTTGCTATCTAGTTAGTCATGCTGTTCCTGGGGAGGGTGGGTCTCATTCCCCTTCCATTTGAATCTGAGCTTGTATGTTAGTCTGCTAGGTCTGCCATAACAAAACACCAAAGGCTGGGTGGCTGAAACTACAACATCTATTTTCGCACAATTCTGGAGATTAAAAGTCCAAGATCAAGGCTTGGCAATGTCCTTTTGTTCTCTGGGAGCTCTGAGCTGCCATGTGTGATGTCTGGCTATCTTGCTGGCGAGATCACAGGTAGTGTTACAGCGCACAGGCTGTGCCAGAGAAAGAGGCCTGGCATGCAATGGAGAAGACTCAAGGAAGCCAGCCCACAGTGAACACAGGTGTCTCCAAGTGGCCCTGGCTGAACTGTTCCAATCTGCCCACCTCTTTGGGCTTTCCTAGTAGAGGTGCTGGACATGCAAGGAAGAGATCATTTTGGAAATTCCTGTCAAGCCAGTCCTCTGTGCCTTGTCCAAATTCCTAATCCACAGGATCATGATACATTTTTTTAAAAAATGGTTGTTGTTTTCAGCAAATAAGTAGTATGATAATAAACATGATGGAGCTGAGGTTGTTACTGAGGTACTTGATTTTCCATAATGCTATGGGATATTGTTCCTGCCTTTGTGTAACAATGGCAATGCAGATACTTTCATACTGTTTACGCTGATTATGACATCTTCCCTACAGGAATTGTGCCACTTGTTTTACTTTCCAGAAAAGACAACAGTGCCTGAAAACTGATAGAAATAGGTGAGGAAGCAATTGTTAAGAATGCTCATATGTCAAGTATAGGAGGTCCTTGTTGAGGACTGTCCATATTGAGGAATGCTACAGAGAAATAAAATAAAGAAAAAGGTTTCATAAGAAGCAGTGGAAAAGGTTTTGATTGTGAATATATCTTGAAATGATACAATTAAAACTCAGGAGAGTTTTTAAATTTTAATTTTTTTTGTGATGCTGAAGACCAAACTTGTGAAGGTTTTATGCTTCACAAAATTTAGGGCAGGGAGGCAGCTCAGTGGTAGAGCACTGTTTGCCATGAGCAAAGCCCTGGGTTGTTCAATCCCCAGCACCCACACAAAAACAAAAACCAACAGAATTTAGCACTGCAATGACTATGCAAGATTTAATGGACAAGAATAAATCAAAGTGGATTGCACCAAACTGTGATTTTGACAGTATAATATCTTGTACTTCACAGCTGACTTTCAGAGCACGATCTTAATCTGTAAGTTCTATCATCTCAGATATGGGACACTTAACAAAAACTTAAATCGAGCAACAAATATACCACTTATCATAGTTTTTGAAAGCAATGTGTTTTTAGAGTTCTATTCTTCTGAGAAAAGTAATAGGTGAACCATTCGAACATTTGAAAACACACACACACAAATATGCACTTCATACATGTGTACGAAAATAAATGAAGGATATATAAGCTCAAAATCATAATTTTCAATCTATTTTTCAAACAGTGGACACTGGTTGTTGAAATACTTGTAGAACTGAAGACTTGGAACTTGATGGGTTAAAAATGGCAATTTTTGTGAACAGTTTTCAAGGTGCACTTAATGTTAGGTCAGTGGCAGCGACTTGGTGGCGACTTAGTGGCAACTTAGAACAAAGTGGCCTGAGCTGCTTTGAACATCAATCAGATGCCAGCGGAAACGCCTGTCAATCAGCCAGATCTCCTGACTAACGCCTGTCAATCAACAGGACCCCCCTGGCCAATCCTGGAGTTCAGCCAACTCCCCTGACCAACTCCAAGGGGGCAAGGGACTCTAAGAACACTTTTTCTGGTCCCAAGCCCTTCCCTTCCTGCTGTAAGCCCCATAAAAGTGCAGTCCAGTCCAGCTTCCACGTGGTTTCTCTTCAGACCCTTCCCCTGTCCCCTCTGTGGGTCTGATCGAGTTCCGCCCAGGAGTGACATCTCAATAAAGCCTGTTCAGCGGCCCTTTTAAATCTGCCTCCTTTGGCTGCATCCTGCCCAGCTTGATCTGACACTTCATTTCACCAATGACGGCTTCTCCCAGTTCCTTTTCTAATCCGCATCTTCTGAGGCAACCTTTGTTGCCCTTCTCCCATGTTAATTTAGCTGAGTCATCATCTGTCAATTTCCAGGAAGCCCTCAGCACTTTTCAGTTTCAGGAAAGTCTGCATCTTTCCCAACATTTATCTTTCGCTTTGCCATGATACTGTGCTGTGTCAAAACAAACACTGTATTTAGGAAGATTGACCAAAATAAGAATTCAACTGCATAGAGACTTTTGGACTTTTTGAACTTTTGAGCTACTTACTTTGTAAGTAGTCAGTTAATTAAAATGTTGACAATGACAACAGTTCATATGTGATCATATGAATGATAAAATAGGTAAAATATGTAAAAAGAGGGGGAATCCTCTATATACAGAATCAGGACGTGGAAAGACTGTTGACAGTGCAGGACAGGGCTTCCTCTCCAGCCACAGCAAAAATGCTCCTTGGAGCTTCTCACATGAATTTCAAGTTCATTCCCATTGTTAGCTACCTAGTGTGGTCATCTATGACCTGGAACTGGGTGTGTAATCCTTAGAGATTTTCTTTTTAACTTTCACAAGTCTCTATGTTGGTTCAACATTTGGAAATGTCTTATCTTGCTGGGATGTTATGGCAACAACATTAACAGCATTTCCCATCAGCCTTCTTTTATTCTATGGAGGACAAAGGGGTCAGATTCTGACTTTCCTATCCCTTGAAACCAGCATAGACGTGTAGTCCAGTTTTGACCCAGGAGATTTAAGTCTATGGTGGGGAGTCTAGGAAATATTTTTTACCTCCTGTGTCAAAGGGAAGGGGATGTGAAGAAAGATCTCTCTTTGCACTATTCTCTTGCTTCTTGCCATTGATGTGGTCCGATGACCATATGATTCCTGGAGCTGCAGTAGCTGGGACCAAGAGGTGACAAGCCTAAGGGGAAAAAGCTCAGAACCTGCAGACTGGTGTGGAAGGACAGAATCTTAGTTTTTGTTGATGTTACTGAACTGCTGAGTAACTGTTAAATTACACATCTGTACATATCTGTAATCCTTATTCAATGTATTGCTTTGTGGTTTACCCACTATTCATTGGGTTATCTGGTGAAAGCATTCTTAGTGATACAAATCATTCATTCAACAAGTATTTACCCAGTAAGGACTATGGGCAAAGCACTGCTTCAGGATCTGAGGCTATACCAGTGAAAACAAAACTAAGTCCGTGTTATCATGATGCTAACATATTCATGGCAGTGGGAAAGAAAAAACAAATAACTGGATATCAGGCTGTGATAACAGCTGTGAAGAAAGGCATGGTAACAGGACAGAGCAAGGATTAGTTTACATGGAGAGTTTGGGAAGGCCTCTCTGACAGGATGATATCTGAGAAGAGATCAGGAGGAGAGTAAGCAGTGAGGGTGTCTGGGTATGACCCACAGCTTCTAAGTTGGTCCCTGAAGACCTGCCTCCTGGTACTCATGTGCTAGGTAAGTTACCCTTGCATGTGGGCTGACTTACTCACTCCTTCCTAAAGAACAGATGATAGCAGGGAAAGATATCATCTCTGAGATTAGAAGAGTGAGTTCTAGTTTGAGTACCCTAATATTATTATTATCAGTTTTTAAGATGGGGTCTCCCTATGTTGCCCAGGATGGTCTTGAACTTGTAGGCTCAAGGTATCCTCCTGTTTTCATCTTCTGAGTAGCTGAGACAGACATGTGTCACCATGTCTGGTGTGGGTATCCTCTCTAGCTTGCTAGTTCTGGGGAAGCAAGTGGTTGCAGCAAGTGAGAGCCCTATGGAGGGGCCTGTGACACAGGTAACCAAAGCTTGTCAACAACCACATAAGCAAGCTTGAAAGCGTATCCCCCCCAACCCAAAGTGGAACCTGCAGATATGACTACAGACCATGTTCATAGATTGAGTGCAACCTCCCAAGAGCCCTTGAGCAAAGGCACCCAGCTGGCTTGGCCATACTCTTAATTCCTGACCACAGAAGCTGTGAGTTCATAAATGTCCATTGTCCGAAGCCACTAGGTTATGAGGTATTTACCTATGCAGCAAAAGGTAATGATGTGATTCAGAAGAGCATTCCACACAGAGGTTAAAAGTAAGTGCAAAGGCCTCATATCAGAAATGTGCTAGATGTGCTTAGGGAACACCAAGGTAGCTGATGTGTCTGGAACAGAGTGAGCAAGGGACAGAAACAGAAAATTAGTGGAGGTGAACCAGTTTGGGTCTGAAAGCAAGTATTGCTAAGAAGTCGAGAATGCTCTCTCATGAGAGTACCCATATAATACACATTAAGGCATAAATTATTAACAAGTCCTTTTAGTTTTCTCTGTGATGCCTGCTTATTAAATCACAATGCTATTTAACAGGCTGAATTTCACATTATTTTCTGCAGTGATATGGTCTAGCTTGGGAAATGAGAGAGGAAAAAGGTGAAAATAATGGAAAATGGGTGAAATAGTCACCTTCTGAGTTCTTCCTCTGAAGAGCAAACTAACCCAGAAGGTCTTTGCAGGATGAATATCTAGATTCATAAAGACAAGGCCAAGTTATAACTGCTACCAAATTTTAGATAGTAGAATAGGGCAGTGGAGACCTGGAGAAAACTGCTTAAACAAAGCAACATTACCCACCCTCTTCCCCAGCTCTCCCAACAGCCAGACAGATATACTCAGCACCTGCATGCTCAGTATGACACATTCAAGCTCAGATCTGGGATGATGACACAAGTCACGACTTTTGTGTGTCAATCTCTTATTTTAATCCTTATACCTTCAATCAAGAATCACACTATAAGGAGAGTAAAAGAAAAGAATCAAATGTGTTTGGCAATTGAAAAACAAGTGTTATGATCTTTATTACCTAGACTGTCTTATCTAAAAATCTATTAATGTTTGTGCTAAATTTTTAATATAAAAGCAGAATGTGGCTTACATTTAATATATTTTCAGTGAAATAAAACTCATTGTCATCTGCCTTCCCTCATGTAGAACAATTGATTTCTATCTCTTTAGTGTAAGCATTTCTTGTGAAAATTTTGAAGACTCAAGTTAAAACCAGATTAACTGAAAGAAGGAAATCACTCACATTATCACATGTAACTTTCATTACTGTTGGTACTAGACCTCCTAACTTGAATTAGTTATATTTTCCATGTAACAAAGAGAATTTCCACAACTTGCATGAATATTATTTGGCTAGGGTATTTGGTAAACAATTCTACCATTGGATGAAAAATCGACCCTGAAGAAGAATGAAAGAAACCATCATTAGATGCCTAATCACATTACAATGACCTATGAAGTGGGTAGAGGGATTTATAAGTCCTTAAAAAAATTACTCTAGAATAAGTTCTAAATAAACATTGTAGGAGAAGCTATATCAAATAATTCTTCAGAGGTTGTTTGATGCAAGAGATGAAGAAAATGTACAAAGACCAGTCTTCTCAATACTATTATTCTATTGGCATGAAATGGAAACTGAGATCTGTCAATGTCCCTATTATTATTTTACGAGTTATAAAGTTGTCATAATTTCATTTCTAAGGATTTGGGATGGAACTGGGATTTCACTTGGGGACAGATACCATGCTTTCAGGAATGAAGCATGACATCATCACACACCAAATAAATACAGAAGAAAAATTTCTTAAGCAATTAAATTGTCCTGAACAAAGCACCATTGATCCCACACAAAGGATAAAAAAATTCTAATTTTATCCTTTCACAGAATCTCAGTTCCATTAATAAGGAAGCACTCACTGGTCTCCACAAATCTATTATCATGAACAAAATATTATGGTCATTGGACAAGATAAATGTGAGAGGCAAATCTCTTCCGGAAAAGAATGAGCCTGATCATACTAGCCCGATTTATGACTACTAAGAAAGACTGGTGAAGGGTAACTAGGGTAGGTATCCCTAGTTGTGGACAGAGGCAGTAAACATGTCTCCCTCACCGATGTCCTGGCCCTCTTCACTCACGTTGGAGGGAGCTCCATGTACGTTAAGATCAGGTTCCATTACTGGCTCTGTGCAATTTATTGAGTTATTTTTATTGGGCAACCATAAAGGAATCAGAGGCTGCGGAACATTTTGTTCGAAATGCAAAGGACTCTGGCACCACAATGTTAAAAGTGAGGGAATTAGGGAGCAAGAGAGGAGCAAAGACTTGCCAAACTCAAGGCGCAAGAGAGAACTAGAATTCAAACTGGGTCTCGCAAAAGCACTCGCTAATCACTTAGTTTTCTAGAGGAACAGCCCCATCAGCACAGCATTGCCCCCGGAAACTTGCAAGGAACAGATGCGGGCCAAGCAGCCACGCTTCTGGCAGCGGGCGCTCCCAGAGCGCCAAAGGAGAGTGCAAAATGATTTCCAAGTGGAGCTGAAGCGCTGGACTGGCCTCTAAGCCCTCCTGCCCAGGTCCCCTTCCAGACCGAAGGGTATGCTACTACAGAACCCCCGCCGCAGCGCGGCCCGGCCGCCGGGGAGGGGACGCGGGACTTGAAAGGAGGGCGCGCGCCCCGCCCGACTCACCTGTCAGCGGCCCGCGCACCCGCGCACGCGTAGGGCCGGCGATCGCGCGCGGGGTCCACAGCCGGCTCCCACCCTCGCGCTCCGCTAGGGTTCCTGCCCCCGGCCCCAGATCTTGAGGTGGCCGGACCCCGGCTTCCGCCCCTGCCTCTCCAGGTCGTCACATGACCGAAGAGGTGGACAGCGGGGCGGGGCGTCACGTGACCCCATCAGCGGGCGACGGCTGATGACGCAGGAGCCCGCGCTGGCCGTTGCCGCGACTGGCTTTGCGGAGAGGAGTTGGGGTCCGGGTGTGCGGACTCCGGGTGCAGCAGACCGAGTCGGGTGGTGCTGCCAGGTGAGGCGGGAGCGGGGGATGGTGGTGGCCAGCGCGGCGGGAGTTGTCGCCTAGCTCTGGGCGCGCCGCAGGGACCGGCCCCGGGTCGGCTAGCCCGGGCTGCGGTCCTGGCCCGTGTCACCTCAGTGGGGCTGCCGCCGCGTACCCAGGCTGGGAGAGGCCGTCCCTCGGTCCTTCCGCGCTGTGTGTGTCGGGGCGAGGGGGACAGACAGACTGACGGACGGACCAGGAATTACTCAGGTTTGAACCGGCTTTAAAAGCAGGGCCAGGAGCCATTGGTTCAAATAAAAGTTTCGGGGTCTCCGTTTCCTTTTCGCTTCTCGAGATTGGTGTGAGGTAGTGAGAACCAGGCGCCAGGGCACAATTTGTGGTCCCTTGTAGGTGACCGAGAAATGGTGGCGTTTTTATTGTTTTCCTGACTTTCAACAAGTCTTTATTGGTTATCTATTTTGTATGAGAAGCTGTTTAACAGCTCCCAGAATATGTCAGCACTTTAGTTTAGGGAACTCCGAGGGTGAAGGAACCACAGACATCTGAGCAAGTAGCTGCGAAGAGTTTTACGTGGAAGTGTGTGAGTACGTGAGTGTGCTAGGGACAGTGGTTACATGAGAGAGGGGACAAACGACTGCATGAATAAGAGAAGGCTTCCTGGAGAAAGATGTTTCTTGGCATGCTAAGAAAGGAGACAGGCTACCAGGGACTTACAGGAGGCCAGCACGTTGTCTAGGAAGTGTTTACTCGGAGCCTATGGTGGTGACGTACAGTCAGGTGAGAAGAGGCAAGAGAAGCATTTTTATTTTCCCATTAATAATTGGCCTTACCGACAGGGCCAATTATTAATCATGTGATATAATCAAATATTATATGATTCCCTGTATAAGAAGTACAGAAGGTAGTCAAGGTCAGAGTCAGAAAGTACAATGTGGTTTCTGCTTTCTCCAGGAGCTAGGAGCCCAGGAAATGGGAGTTGTTTAATAGTTGTAAAGTTTTAGTTTTGTGAGATAGAAAGAGTTCTAGAGATTGTTTGTATAACAATGTGAATGTACATAACACTGCTGACTGTACACTTAAAAATGGTTAAGATGGTAAAATTCTGTTATGTGTAATTTAACATTTAAATTTTTTTTCAGTTTAGCAGGGTCATAAAGCATATGCAACTAGGATGCAAAGAAAAATGTGTGCCTTAAAAGTAATGCAATGGATATTTTAAAAAGGGATAGATTATTCCAGGTTGGGGTGTGCAGCTGCATTAATGATGGAACATTTCAGATGGGCTTGTGACAGAAGTTGAGTTTCTGATTCTTCCCTTAAGAACTGAGCTGGATAAGAGCACAGGGGTAGGGTGCAGGAAAGAGATTCCAGAGGCCAGATGATATTGGCACTCCATTACAAGGGACTGGGACAATCCAAGGAAGAATAATAGGAACACTGCTGGTGAGGCAACGTTGTTGAGAGGAAAATATAAGTATTCACGTGACTAAAGGAAGAGAGCCGAGTTATTATGAATGGCAAATCAAAGAATATGAAGAATATTCCAGGCTCGCCAGGGGAGGCAAAATAGCATGCAAGGGAAGAGCTCATAAAACATATCAATTTGTTTTAAACTGTCTTGGAGCTCATAGGTCTCCAAGGTAACAAAGATTGCTGTTACCTGGGGAATGAACCAAGAAGAGATTGATCTAAACCAATGCATTGTGGATATTTGGGGGCATATGATTCTTTTTATTGACCAGCTGTCCTGTGCAGTCAGGTTGTTTAGCACCCTCCCTGGCCTCTGTCCACTAGTTGTTAGTACTGCCCCCCTCATCCCCCGCCCCAGCAACCAAAAATGTCTCCAGATGTTGCTAAATGTACGCTGGAGTATGGGCAAAGTGACTGCAAAAAGCTATACTCATGTCAGGGAAAGTGAATGTGTGAAAGTATCAGAGTCAGTTCAGCTGCTGTAACAAAACACCATAAACTGGGTAGTTTATAAATAACAAAATTATTTCTTATAATTTTGGAGGCCGAGAATTCCAAGGTCAAGGGGCCATTAGACTCAGTGCCTGATGAAGCCCTAATTCCTGGTTTGTAGGTGGTACTTACTTGGTGAGTTCTTGCTGGTAGTGGGATAAGGCAGCTCTCTGTAGAGTCCTTTATAAGGGCACTAATCCCACTCAGGTGGGTGGATCTAATCACCTCCCCAAAGCCCAGCCTCCTAATACGAACCTTGGTATTAGTTTTCAACATACTTTTTGGTTGGGGGAGCACAAGATTCTAGCAGATGGTAGCAGATTCTAAAGTGAAGAGGGGATGGTATTGTCATGGTGGGAGCAGGATGAACAAAGTCTTGAGCTGGAATTACGAGTAGTGTATGTGAAGGAGAAAATGAAAGAAAAGCGATTAGGGTCTGACTGAGGCAGATGGTTGATTGATTCATTTAGAGGATATTTTCTGAGCTCTTGCTATTTGTGAAGCACTGTGAGCAGCATGGTAGATAGTAAGTAGTGTTTTACAAAATAGTGTGACTGCGAAATCATGTCAGAGAAGGTGTTTGAGTCAGGGATTGCCTTTGGTTTACAAACTTAGTTTTACTTATTGGGAAGAATTGGGAAAAAAAGTATGTCTATTCCATCTTTCTGTTTCATTTATTCTCTTTGCTTCTCAGTCCAGATAACAGAAGGTCATGACTAGTTTTCCTCAGTTCTCTGTAGGAGTGAAGTTTCACTGGAGTAATGTGAATTTCCTACTCAAACAAATAATAAAGGATAACTACTGTGTGGTAGGTTTCTTTTTATCCTGAACTGCATTAACCCTTATGTATAAATTATGTCTTAATTTAGACAGTTATAACAAAATACCATAGAATTTTAGGTGACCTAAACTACAGAAATTTATTTCTCATAGTTCCAGAGGCTTAAAGTTCAAGATCAGGATGCTACCTAGTGTGGTTGGATTCAGGTGGGGACTTTCTAGGAAGATAGCTTGCAGGTGGCTGCTTCCTTATTGTGTCTAGTACCAAGGATTAAACTAAGGGGTGCTTAACCACTGAGTCACATCCCCAGTCCCTTTTTATATTTTATTTAGAGACAGGGTTTCACTAAGTTGCTTAGGGCCTCCCTATCTTGCTGAGGCTGGCTTTGAACTTGTTATCTTTCTGTCTCAGCCTCCCAAGGCACTAGGATTACAGGTGTGTACCATTTCACGTGGTGGGTCTTGTCTTGTAAAGTCACTCACTAGCCCATCATCTACCAAACAGGAGAGTGTGTGTATGGAGAAAGTGTGGAAAAAGATTTTTATGGACTGGCCCTAGAAACAGCTCATATTTCATTGCCTTGAGTACAATCATAGGCCACACGTAAGTGCAAGGAAAACTGTAAAGTGCAGTGGTTCAACAGCTGTTTGACTAGATTGAAGAAGAAATGGCTTTGGTGGGCACCAGCTGATATTTGTCACAAGTGTCCTGTCTTTAGTCTACCTTGTGAAATAGTCTTATGAAACAGTCCTAGGAAGTTTGCTGTTGCATTTATTGTAGGGATATTACTGAGAATTTTTTAAACGTAACTCTTTTTATCTCATAATAATTTGTACTGCCTTAGTTGCTCTGGAAAGCTTTATTTTTCCTATGTTCCTGGTGTACTTTCTTCTCCGTGGGAAAAGTAACCTTCACTTTTGTTTTGATTGTCAGGAAGTTCACAGCTAAATTTGTATTACAAATGTAATGCCCTGTAGAATCCTAGAGCCTGCATGGCTGCATTCTCTCTCATATACTTGGCTTTCCCTTTAATTTCTGAGTTTTGACTCTGATTTTAAAGATTTTGTATTTTTACATGTTTTTGGATACATTTTTATTTATATTATATAAAATAATCCAACTTGTTTGGGGGAAATAAAGTGGGATTCTAAATAAGCACCCTCTTTCACCAAATGCACGTGTTTAAAAATCACATTTGGGTTTTAATTTATATTCATATTTTCTCTCTTTTGGTGTGAATTTTAAAACCTATTTTTAATTTATTTATTTGTTTATTTTTATGTGGTGCTGAGGATCCAACCCAGTGCCTCACAGGTGCAAGGCAAGTGCTCTGCTGCTGAGCTACAGCCCCAGCCCGAGAACCCTTTTTGATCCCCAGATTTTAACATCTATAGCATTTTACCATGTTTGCTTCTGGTCTTGATTTTTAAGGTAAAGTTTTAAAAATACATAAAGCTAAAAGTGTATTTGATGACACTCAGGCTCAAGTGGATTATTCTTTATCCTTCCCTGACCACCCCCTACACTATCCTGCCAAGGAATGAAATCCAGTTTTCTTTCCTTCCCTTTGTCCCTGTATGCCAGGTGAAGGGGGCTCACACCACTTTCCTACCTCATGACCACTTTTCATTATAATTTTTTCTTCATATCAGATGCTCTCTCTGGATAACTTAGACTTTCCTCAATCTTAATCTAGCTTAACTGCCTTTTTATCATTGAAGACCATGTCTTCCCTCAGTTATGCTTGTGGTCATTTCTTTTTGAACCTCTTAGTGTACAGGGTTTTGAAATATCTTTCTCTTTTGAATTCATAGTACTTGGTTTATTTTTCTAATATGCATGTGTTCTCTTTCAAGCTTGTGTTGAAGGGTTGTTGCAGAAATGGATTGAATTTTCTCAGAATATTGAGTATTTATGGTTACATGGAATATATGTTTTGGTCTTGGAAAAAGGCTTTGGATTTGTGGAAGGCTTTGGATACTCTGCTCATAATGCCAAATTTTATTATATAGGCAACATGGAGTTAAGACCGACTTTCCTTCTTTTTATTGTCTGTTTTCATTATTGGCATCCCTGTCTCTCTTGTCAGCAAGTGCAAATACCCTAAGGTGAAAACATGCCTAGGTTATTAAAGTCACGCTTTGAAAACCACTGCTCTACAGCACCTGACCATGTGCTGTAGAGTAGTGGTTTTCAAAGCGTAACTCCTGGATCAGCAGCATCTGCATTACTGGAAGTTTGTTGGAAGTTCAGGTTCTTTGGTCTAATACCTACTGAATTAGAAATTGCAAGGTTGAGGCCCAGCAATCAGGGTTTCAGCAGCCCTGTCAGATGATGTGTTAACACTGAAGCCTAAGTATAGCACAATAAGAATTACATAGAATGTCTTCAAACACAGGTTGTTAGGACCTGAGAATCTGCATTTCTAACAAGTTCAGAGGTGATACTAATGCTACTTGGTTATGGACTATTTGGGGAACCACTGTTGGTATGAAGCCCTTTGGGTATCATTTGATATGAATCAGGAAGTGGAGAGAGGGTTTTGAATAGGGGAGCCACTTGATTTTATGTACATTTTCAAATTTTCTTTCAGGGTACTGTTTTGAGAATTGAGTGGAAAAGATAAAGTTGGGATCTGGGAGACCAGGTTGTAGGCTGTTATGGTTTGGATCCTTAATGTCCCTGGGAAAGCTCCTATGTTAATGCAAGAATGTTCACAGGGGAAATTATGATCAGATTCCAAGAGCTGTAACTGCATTAGTGAAAGTACCACTATGCTGGATGGGTATGGCTGGAGGAAGTGGGTCACGATGGGGCGGGGGGGGGCGCATACTTTTGGGCATTAGATCTTGTCTGCAGCTCCTTATACTGTCTTTCTCTGCTTCCTGGCTGCCAGGCTCTGAGCAACTTTCCTCTGCCACACCATTTCTCCATGATGTTCTGCCTTGCCTCAGGCCTGGAACAATGGATTTGGCTGACCATGTACTGAACCTCTGAAATCATAGCGCCCCAAATAAACTTAATTGTTCTTGTCAGATATTTTGATCACACCAAAAAAAGCTGACAAATACAAAGATAGCGTTTTGAATCAGGTAGTAACAGTAGAATTGGTGAGAATGGTTGGATTCTGACAAAAGTTTTTATGGGTTTGATTTTGATGAGAGAGGATTAAATATGATCAAGGTTTTTGACTTAAAAAGTGGAAGGATGGAGTTGCTATTTAGTAAGATGGAACCTGCTACAAAAGGAAAAGGTTTGAGAGCGGGTAGGGAAGTGGGAAGGGAGGTGTTGAGTGTTCAGTGTTCTTGTGGATAGTACTTACATGGAATGGGACTGGCTGGGAGCCCTGGGTGGGTGGGAGAGGATGAGAAGAGAGGTGACCAGGGCACTAAGCCTGAGCCTGCCAGCGTTAGGATTTGCAAGCTTTGAGATTTGGGAGGGAGAGGTGCACTGTTTTTAGGTGTCGGGGGTACACATCATGTTTCACTCCTTTATTCTTTCACCATAACTTTACTGAATGGCTATGTGTGCCACTCCATTTTAGGTGCTTGACATAAAGCAGTGAACACAACAAAGACTTTGTCCCTAAGGAACTTGTAGTCTAATTGGGAAGTAGATACAATAAACATGATAAACAAAAGAATGTTGTTTGGTAGTATCTCTTGTGAGTGAAGAAAGATAAAACAGGAGAAGGAGAAGAGGGAATGACCTGAAATCTGATGGGGATGGGGAGCACTTGCTATTTTGCATAGGGCATCCAAGGTAGGCATTTGAAGGGAGACCTTAGGGAAGTGAGAAAGAAGGCAATGTAGATATTTAGGGGATAGGTATCCTGGCAGAGGAAACAGAGAAGCGTGGCTCTGAGGCAGGGTTGTACTTGATTTTTATATAGATGGAAAAAAATAAGAGACCAAATCCTGAATGCTGAGGCCCTCCATCATATGGCACTCAGGCAGATGCAGAGGAACAGCAGAGAATGAGAACCATCTATGAATAGAAGAGCAACTGGGCAGGGGAGGCAGGTCAGTAAGTGCACCAGGAAGGAGGGATGATGAACTGTGCCAGATGCTATTGATTGATAGGTCAAAGGAGATAGGGACTGTAGTAGTGACCTTTGTAAGAGCAGTTGCATCTGAGTGGTTGGGGTGGAAGGCTGGCAGGAGTGGGTCCAAGAGAGAATGAGAGGTAAGAGTTTGGAGACAGAAAAATCTGTGAAAGAGTTTTTCTGTAATAGTGAGCAGAGAAATGGGGGTGGTGACCATGGGTGAAGGTAAAGGGAAAGTGGGAGGATGTTTTCTTTAAGGTGGGAGAAATAATGGTTCCTTTGTTTGCTGTAGGGAATCGTGAGAGCAGGGAGAATTACTGGGACAGTGTATAGAGAAGGGAAGGATCTAGTGGATAAGCGATGGGGGGTTGGCTTGCCAAGGAGCAGGCACAGATTACTCCTGTTATCAAAAAGGAAGGCAGAGGAAGGAAGAGGCAAGCAGTGGGAACTTGTAAAACATCTCTTCTGTTTGTGTTTCCTCAGTGAAATAGGAAATGAGATTTTTAGTTTGTGGTGAAGATGGAGGAGGAAGAGTTGGAAATTTGTAAAGAGTCGTAAAAGGGCATTATTTTTCTGTAATTAGGAAAATTCAAATAGTTGTAGAGAGTTGTATATTCTTTGCAAATGTCTTTGCTCTTTATTCCTATATTCCTTTCTTCTGCTTGAATGGTTTTCTGTCCATCCATTAAATTTCTTTCTTTATCCTGGTAAGATCAGTTAGCCTTGGTGTCTTTGATCACTTAAGGCAAAGTTAAGCATTACTAGTGCCTCTACTTTTCAGTAACTCCCACACTGCTCCCCCCACCCCTCCCCTCCTCTTTTGTGTCTGCTTCCCTCCCTCTGCTGCCCTCCCTCCCTCTACTGCTCAACTGTGAGCTCTGCTGATGAGAGGCTGAGTATTTCTAGGGTCTAGAATAGTGCATGGCATATGGTAGGTTTTCACTGAAGGAAAAGAAACTAAATAGTGCTTGAAAATGAGTCTTAAGAGCACTTATTTTGAAAACTATGACATTCCCATGCTAGAAGTGCCATACACTTAAGGAGGTACTTATATTAAATATCTGTTGACTGAATTCTTCGAATTGTCAGTGAGTTGTAATTGTGGATGATTGCACTAAACTAAAACCTCAGAAATAAAAATCAGCATCTTATGTGTCACTATACCCTTTGTTTTTAATGAGTCTAAAGATAGACATGGTAAAGCCCTATTTGAGTGAATGGACCTAGTTCAGGAGGAAATAATTGAGAAACTACAGTAGTAGTACAAATGCGAGGTAAAAATGGTTGTCATGGAGAGGAGGAAATGCCAGAGATAGTGCATAGCTGTCTACTAAGAAAGAAGGGCGGGTTCCCATGCTGATTGACTGTGTACTAGATGCTAGTCCATGTCATGATTACTCCTTCCCATTCCTTTTCTGGGGCGTTCAGTTTGCTTGTGGTCGGTCACACAGTAGTAAAATTGTAGAGTCTGAATTCATGATTCCAGGAAAATATCTTTCTGTTACCATACAGCCCTTAGGAACAGCCAGCCTCCCAGCCTAGTAAGCCTCTGTGGGTTTTACTTTTCTAATTGGTTTCAGTTGATTGAATTTCAGATGATTTCTGAATTAAGCAAACATGTCTTTCTGTAGGCACTTTACATAAAGAAGTCCAAAGCTTAAAGTTTGGTTGGTTGAAGGTAGAGTTTTAGGGAGTTTAATATGAAGGTAATAACTGAATCTGCTAAAATGGATGAATTAACAGAAGATGAGAAGTCTACACAGAAATTTTGCTTTTATTGAATCTTGGGGTCTCCCAAGTTTATAGATGTGCTAGAACTTGGAGAAGCTGTCAGGTAATTTTTACAGTTTTCAGAATTCAAAGTGCAAATATATCTGATAAGTTAAAAATTACAGATTTTTGCCAGGTGTGGTGGCGAAAGCCTATAATCCCAGCTGCTCTGGAGGCTAAAGCAGGAGGATAGTGAGTTAAAAGCCAGCCTCAGCAATGATGAGGCAACTCAGTGAGACCCAGTCTCTAAATAAAATACAAAATAGGGCTGGGGATGTGGTAGAGTGGTTGAATGCCCCTCAGTTCAATCCCTGGTATCTCCCCACCCCCCAAAATTATAGATTTTCAAAATCCTGCCTTATTAGGCTTTTAGTATTATTGTTTTTTTGTTTTAGAAAAATGCATCATGGATAACCTGTTTTATGTTTTAGGCTGTTACTGAATTCTTCAGAGAATCAAAGAATCTTTTGGAAGAGGGTATTCTTCCTGCTTTAAAAAATGAAGACAGTTACCTTCATCCCGTATTGTGTGCATCGGTATTTGGTGGCCCAGATGATGGCACGATGCTCTCGTGTCCTCTCAGGGGACACTGAATGGAGATAATAGTATAGCACCTGGATATTGGATGTAGTCATATGATTATTTACAACTTTCCTATTTTCATATATGGTTATTTTTCTAACATACAACTCTTGTTACTCTGTTTAAAATTTAGGTAATAATTCCAAGATGCCAGGACGTTCCAGTTCAAGTTCAGGTTCAACTGGTTTCATATCCTTCAGTGGCGTAGAGTCTGCTCTCTCTTCCTTAAAAACCTTCCAATCCTGTATCAGCTCCGGAATGGACACAGTGTCTAGTGTGGCTTTGGATCTTGTGGAAACTCAGAGTAAGTAAAACTTAAAGCTCATTTCTTTTTTTTTTTTTCAGGTGCTGAGTATGTGCTAAGCAAGTGCTCTGCAAATGAGCTAAATCCCTAACCCCTAAAGCTTGTTTTTTTATATCTACTTTGAGGAAACATTGTGTGGTAGCATTACTCTAAGGATGTCTTTTGAATATTCTTGGGACAGTCATTTAGTCCCTCTGTACATCTGTTTTTATACCTTGTTCTGTACATCACATGCCAGTGTACTGAGGGTGAACTAGACTGATTCATTCCTGTGTATTCACATGGTTGTGCTTCATTAGAGACTACACTAGAAATAGATGGTCAAAGACATGAAAGCTTCTGATCTCAGGGGACATGCAGTTCCCAAAGATTGTGACATTCATGAACTCTAAGGTCTGTAAATGGGTTGTGTTACTGTTCTTTTCCAGATTGTCCATTCTTGATTATCCAACAGATGGACTAAGGTAATGCTAGGGATACCAGCGAAGGAAGCTCTCTACAAAATGAGAGAAGTTCAACTTTGATGGACTTTACCCTCATTTTTTTTTTTTCAATTAGAAAATCTAGAAATACATTGCCTACTTTCTTTGGATTAGAGTTGTTTATTTTATATGACATATGGAGGGGAGCAACATAATCTTTTTATTTTGTTCTTAATGACATTCACTGGTTTTGAGCAACTGGTGATGTGCCTTGGTGTGATTGTCTTTGTTTCTTGTCTGATGTTCTTTGAGTTTTGTGGATCTGTGGACCTTATCATTTACACCAAATTTTGGGAACCTTTCTGCTATTGTTTCTTCAAGGATTTTTCCTGTCTCTCCCATTATTCCTAGGATTCCAGTAATGTATGTGTTAGGCTATTTGATATTGTCTTATAAATCAGTGGGGCTTAGTTTGTTTATTTTTTTCAATCCTTTTCCTCTGTGGTTTCAATTTGAATAGTTTGTTTTCTTTTTGTGGTTTGGTGCTGGGGATTGAATCCAAGGCCTTTTGCATGCCAGGCAAAAACTATACCACTGGACTACATCCTGGTCCCTCAATTTGATTAGTTTCTATTACTATCTTCCAGTTCATTCCTCTTCTGCAGTGTCTAATCTGTTAATTCTATCCAGTGGATTTTTAATTTCTTTCAGTTGTCGAAGACATAATAAAGAATTAAATGGAAACTCTTTTCCCTTTCTCTTTCTGTCATGCTTATGTTTTCTTCTGCATTCTTGAATACATGAAGTCTGTTTATAATACTGTTTTAGCATTTTTGCCAGCTAATTCTGTCTATAGCTGCCTCATCCTAAGGACATTGTGAGTATGTATGTTAAAGACTATGAATTTTTTTTAAAATAAAAATGAATACGGTTTTTACTGGCTTTAAAAGCAGGACTATGAACTGTTCATTCAAATAAACTCTCCAGGTCTCAGTTGTTTTCCCATTTTCAGTAATTACAGTATCATTTTGCTGTTGTCCCACTGTCTGCAAGCAGTTGTTTATGGCAGTGGACTAGTCCCATGCTCATGCCTAATAGCAGAAGTCACCATTTGTTTGATGTGTGGCCGTTAAAAGTTTTAATTCTGCCTCGCCTGATTTGGTGGTAATGGATATTTGGCTTTGGTAAGTAGGCCTGGATAAAAGTGATAATAAGATCTTAAACCATAAGAAAGAAGAACTAGGGCACATACTCCTTGGGAATTGTATTAGTTTCTTTTCAGAATTTACATTGAAAATGTGTAGGTGTTTTAGCAACAGTTTTGTATTTGTTTTATTTGATTTCAAATAAGAAGTATATTTTGATATAAAGCACAATATACTTTGTATAATTTTTAAAAATATTTTTCTTTTTAGTTGTAGACAGACACAATATCTTTATTTATTTATTTTTATGTGGTGCTGAGGATCGAACCCAGTGCCTCACACATGAGAGGCAGGCACTCTACCATTGAGCTACAGCTACAGCTCTATTTTGTATAATTTAAAAATAAAAATGAGCACAATTTTTCCAAAAAGTTTGTATTCTCAAGCAGGCCTCTGCAGTTACTCTATAAAGAACTGCATAGCAAATATTTTCAAAGAGTTGTGAGCCGTGTAGTCTCATAAACTTCTACAATTCTGCTGTTGTAGTGCCAGAGCCACCATGCATAGTATGTAAATGAGTGGAAATGGCTGTAGTCCAATAAAACTTTATTTATAAAAACAGCCAATAGGCCAGATTTGGTTCACAGGCCATAGTTTGCCAACCCCTCCTTTAGAGCCATAGTTATTAAATATGTATTTAAAAAATGGGTTACTTTTTGGGCTGTGGTTGTGGCTTAATGGCAGAGTGCATGCCTTGTACATGTGGGGCCCTGGGTTTGATCCCCACCACCACATAAAAATAAACAAAGATATTGTGTCCATGTATTAGTAAAAACATTTTTTTACAAAATGGATTATTTATTTTGATTATTTGGATTAATGTTGTAGCAAATACATGGTTTTTCATTTACCAAGAAAAGCTAATTTAAGGTAAATTGTAAGAAAGCTATATGGGGAAAAATGGGATAAAAAGCTTTGAGAGATGTAGAGTCACCAGGAGCATAGAATACTTGTGAACTCAATATACATATGCATACATAACAGAGGCATACAAAAATACACATATGCACATTTTGTATAATTGAGTTCTAGGTCTTAAGAGGACACTATTATTAAATAGTTCTCCCTTCACAGAGCTCACCATTGTAATGGGACATAATAAAATGAAGAACAATGGGAAAACTGAAAAGATGTTACAAGCCTACAAATAATTAATGTCACCACTGATCTCATCAAAAAGTCATATATTCTCAGATTTATAAGTGTGAACACAAATTCTTCAAAATTTAATTTTTTCTTTAAAAATCTCATTAGCAACAAATATTGTTAATTGTCTCTGAAGTTAACAGGCTCACTTTATTCATTTTCAAGAAAATGTCTGCCAGATACTCAAGTGTCAGTTTCCAAGCTTTTCTTCTGAGATAGCCATCTTTCTTTGATATGCAGCAGAAATATTTTATACATACTTCCTATTTTATCATAGAATATTAAAGGATGTTTTCTTTATGCTTATGGTTGAGATTTAATAAACTTAATAAGTTGTACTAGTACATTAAGGACCTTCTTAAGTGAAATTGGCATCTGTTTTACCACCAATGAGTGCATGGTGGGGAATACAGTGACTTATACTAGTACAATTTGGTTTACGCTGAGGCTCCAGCAGTTTTTCTTGTGCCATTGGTATAAATATCCAATATGGCAAAACAAAATGGAAC